CACCCCCCCCCCCCCCCCCCCCCCTAGCGATTCCAGCAGCCAAGCTGGCGCATGCAACACAAGTTTACTCTTCAAAGAATCCTTGAACCCCACGGGAGGCTTGACTGGTGCAGCAGAGCGGGAGTCCCGCCAATCAAACCTCCAGCAGTGGGAATGCAAAGGATTCCCAAAAGCACGGCACTGTAGAGTAACTTATTCTGCTCCACACAGAGACCTGAAGCAGCGCATCCCCCCAACGAAACTCAAAGGAACGGAATAGCCTATGTCGTTGCCTAACCTGGTACTTTTGTCCTGATTGCCAGAGTTGAAGGCAAGGAAAAAAGCAGGCCCAAAGCGATAAGCGAAAAAGCGCGAGCCATTGTGCGATAACACTGGACTATACTGTGGTTACGTTACAGTATACCTGGGTATAATAAAAATGAAATTTGAGGAATAATCTCTCAAAACAGTAATGGAGGAAGAAGCTTCACTTCCAATACCTGGAGGCTCGAGCTCAAAAGCAGACCGCGCACAGGGCTGCAGGCTGCCCGTAGGCAGGGTAGGTGGCTAGCACGCGTTCCCCGTTTTAATTGGGTGTTTTAAGTTCACAACTGAACTTTTGGAAGCTTTTAGATAGCTTATCAATTCGAGTCTCGTTGGGAATCCAGTGATCAATCTGTTTACGTCCGGGGAGTCCACCGTGGACCGCTTCGGACCACAGTTGTAACACCAGTTTCCCGGTGCAAGCATTCAGTTAGGACAACTCTGAAATTCGATGCTTTCGGCAGTCGTTTTCGTAGATAATATGTGAAAATGCAGCGCTTAATGAGGCTTTTCCGTCGGTAGCAGTTGCTCGTCCTCGAGACACACGGGGGGCAGGGGAGGGCGGGGGGAGGCGGGGAAAAGCAGAGGGAGCTGCACATACTTCGAATTGTGCTGTTAAAATGACTGCCGAATTTGCCTTAGGCAAGCTTCTGTCCTGGTTCAATGCAGTACACTCCAAGCGATGCAGCAGGGATGATTCGCAGCAAGAACCGTGTGGCATTACGATGCAGCAAATGCTGAATGGTGACCTTGTGATCTGGAAACGTCTCTGAAAGCGTTCACAGGTACATTCAGTTAAGCATATTTTAGCAACTGCACCATTTCTAACATAACAGCTTGAGTGTTCTCTGCGTAGCTGAGGAAATGTGATTAAAATGCGCCTGCGGGCAGTGTGGTGCGGAGTCACTGAGAAACTGTACCAGTGGGAGTACTAGACGTTACAAGAAGCTCTATAGATAGTAAGCAACAGAATTTTCATGCATAAAAAATATGGAGGAGAGCAATTACAGATGTAAATGGCACAGCAATGGCAACGAGCAGCTTCTTGGTGGGTGTATCTGCGCCCAGCAGGTAGACCCACCAAGAAGCTGCTCGTTGCAACAGCTCTTACGTACACCTGCCTAGCAGGCAGGTGTACGGAAGAGGTGTTGGAGTCAATTTTGAGCAAGGACGGTTCTCGCTTTCCAGCACATATATCTTTTGAGTAACAGAAATACATGGTGTTTGGGCGGATCCTTTCCAGCCTGGGGACCTAGACTTCGCCACTTGTGGAGGCATTGCCCCTTATTCTCCCGCAGTGAGGCTAGTTTCCCTCTTGTCATTATTGTAGTAGTCGTGCATGGGGAGTCGATATTTTAGGGGAGACTGACTATACAGTCTTTCGTTGCTAGACCTCTCGAGCAGTCTTCTGGCGTGCAGGCAATCAGAGACCTTATCTCCAGTTTCAGAAGTGAAGTTTGACCATCCGTGTTTCATTTCACTATCTTACTTTCAGTTCCACAGTTGGTTGTGTGAGGAGCGTCGCTGTGCACTGAAGCTTACTGTATTTGGAACTTAAGTCGGCCATCACATCCTGAGCTCTTCAACTCAATCTCCACACCTGTAGTTGAATTAGTTGACGCTCGTAAAAGAAGAAACGCTAAGATTAGCAACTTGTATGGTAAGGCCTGCGAGCAGCTACAGCAGCGTTGGCCTTCTGCCCCTTTGTCGTGATAATCCTAGCAGCTGGAACCAAAACAATATTCTGCATCAGTTCACTTGTGCGCTGGCCCTACTTGGCCAGGAATGGCGATTAACTCCTGTGGGAAAGGCAACCCTCCACACCGCTCAATGAAGCTGAAGAGGGGACTTTACTTCTTATGTACCCATACAGAATCGTCATGATGCAGTATACAGCTTACACAGAAGCCGCAACGTATAACTCGGCGCCTCCGTCTTGCCATATTTTAGACAGTGCTTCCCGACATAACCTATGGCCTCCCGGCAAGTGGTAGCCGTAACGGTGAGAGGCTGCAGGATCCCAGGGGAAGCGCCCAGGTCACGAACACACCATAGATAAGAAAGAACCAATGCATGATGACAAGTTCAGAGATTCCATATAAATTAGAAAAACAGTATGGTGAGATTTCGAGGAAATTCCGTGTCATCGCTGTCGCCAAAAAGTCATAGTATCGTCTGGAGCTCTCTGCTAGCAGCAGCAAGGCCAAGATGATCTCAGCTAGTGCGAATCTTTCTACACTCATAAGGACACTTAAACCCTGGCCGCACAACTTCTCAGACTGGATGCAGTGAGCTGTCAACCAGCTTTGCAGTTGTTTTCACATTGGTAATGGACCACTGCAGTTCGTGAAGCAAAAGCCACAACAATTCAGGCTAGTGTTTCTCAATCTACTTCTACTTCAAAGTGAACTTTAGGCTGTAGACGGAAAGCGGCATGTCGACCGCTCTCCAGGCCTTCGCTATCGTTTGTAAACCTGAAAAACGCACATACAAAAGACGCTCAGTCAAGACGTACATAGGATTTGCACTTCTGCCGGCCAACACACTCAGACGCAAAGCTCGAAGTATGGTAGCCATACCCGAAAAGAAACTGAACAGGTCCTGCACTGTAGCGAGAGTAGCCCTGCAGGTTGCCGTTTCCACGCAAGCGGAGGAGACTGGCTATGGATAGCAGCGGTCGAACAGAGATGCCTAGCCACGGACGACCCTGTGGAGACCATACGACGCCCAGCAAAATACGCATCACTCATTTATCGCCACCGAATCAATCGTGTGAAAATGATCGTCAACGTTCCTTGTGACAACGGTGTTCCGCCGTTGTCCCTGATGGCGACCATTTTGATGCAGGTGTAGCTTATGGGCTTCCGTACAGTGCAGAACACCCAAATGTTTGCAAACACCAACCACTTGTCCATGAATTGCCACAACGTATCCTGATACTACCTACATGCTGCTGACGAAGCAACCCGGCAAGGGCAGACCCAGATAACTCCGCAGCCATGGCGGGAAACTCCCTGGCTGACTTCTGAATAAGAAAAAAGCGGATTTCAAGCAGAGAATGGTACAAGCTGCGGCACAGCTGGCTGTTCCGGCCAGCTGTAGCTGGCAAGTCCCACATATTCGCCAGAACGGGTTGCTCCACTGATGCCGGAGGCATCGCTTGCCTGAAAGGCAACGATTTTATGGAACGGTGAGCACTAGAGCAACCTGTGTCGGGTACTAGTCTCCTCAATCGCTCATCCAGCGTCATCAAAGCCTGTGAAAACCATAGGCAACAACAGCGCAGGAAACCTTTCTATCGGTTCTGAGTTAAAATCAGACGAGCTCGGAAAGCTGCACCTGCAGAAGTCTTGTACCCAAAAGATTGCCAGTTTGGCAAACAAAGGTGTAGCCTACCTTCCCAACGATTCCTGGAGCCAGTGATTCAAAACGTCGAGAGTCTCTCTGTAGTGCAGCTACCAGTTCTGCTCGGAGACTAAGCCTGACGTTGCTTTCTACTTGTAGGGCTTCCCTGCAGCGCACCAGGTAAGCAGTGCATCCGTAGATGCCACTATCGTCTCTAATCATGCATACACCACAAAGTGGTTGCAAGCAGCCACCTGCTATTCCTTCCCTGGCCGTCAAACTGAATGACAAAAACCCCACCTGAGGAAAATGGTACGAATTTCCTTCTCGACAGACCGTTTCAGTTCCTCGCGCAGTGCTCTACGGTGCAGGGAGAGCTGAAATAACCACAAATACCTTGTGCAGCTGGTCTACCATTCCAACCATTCTCCACTGCATCCCTATTTTTTTTTAAAAGTACATTGGAGTGGGGTCGTTGCACACCTGATACCTCCGAGTTTGGTAGTCGTAAAGGGTGAGTGCCTTGAAAAGGATCACTTGGGCTATTGAACCAAATGACTGTCCGGAAGTTTTCAGAGGATTCGGTTGTTGGAGCTGGCGGAGACCCTTCTGAGTAACGAGAAACACGGACACTGCAAAACACAACCTTTGCTACCAACATTCTACAGCCACGATTTTCCATGTGCTACTGCTGTGCATCGCTTGCTGGCCTGTTAATCAAGAGCTGTCGAGCTAATGAGAAGCCGCACCAGCGCTTCTGCTAAGGACTGCCTAAACGCCGCCGTGCACACGTTAGAGGAGAGCGCATGCGCAGCAAACTCAAATGTGTTGGGAGGGCCAGAAGCATGCTGCCTGGTAAGCAAATCCGCCAAGGCGTCTGTAGAGGAGATAAATTCCCAGAACAACACCACAAATCACACACAATTTACGTTTGCAAGACGCGCGCATATTATTCCCTGTGCTGTCGGTTCCCGAAGCCGGTAGTCTGCAACCTCAGACAGTGGATAGTGTGCATTTGCCGCTGCTGTTTTGTTCCGAAGCAATGCATTTGGTCTGTACCGGCAATCTGCTTTACTGATGTATTTCGGGGCTCAATCCCTTGTACCAGACGACCCATTTTATCCCGACCATCATTCCGTCCTTCAGGTGGTTGCATGTTGATCACAGCTACCCGAGCTGCGGCAAGGACATCGCACCCTTCTCAGACAAAATAGTCCACATAAGCCGCGGCGCTCTTATGTCCCAAGCCTCGCCTTCACAGTAACTACTTCGAATGGGACACGCTTGCCTTCAGCGTTGCCAAGTTGGGTGCGAACTTTCGCACCAAGGGCTTCCAGCTTTGCGCTAGTCACCGGACCCTGCAGCGTCACGTTCAGCCAGTCGTGTGCCGTTTCACTGTTTCTGGAGAGTCAGAAAACGTCTTTGAATGGGCTCGCACGCGAAATTATAGGTTAACCATAAATGCTACACCTATGGATAAGTAGTGGCTTGAGTTCTTGAGCTGGGCATGCTAAGCAAATGACTGCTTCCCCAATAATTTACCGCGAGATGCTACCAAAACATTGAGACAATTAACCTGAATGCGGGTGCAACTCGAATTGACCACTTTTGGGAATTACCTCGAGGGCGATGATGACGAGCGGCAGTCGGCGATGTCGGGATAATGGCCCGGCGGATGTGGTTGGGTAAATGCGGGATTGTCTTGTGCTCCTGTTGGCTCCCTTGTCTAGAATCTCCTCGTTAATCAGCTGCCGCATTGCCTGTAATAGCTGTAAAACATCGTCTGGGAGGCGAACCTGAGCATTCACAGGCTTGGGCTCCGTCCGAAGTGATTTGTCTGTGGTCTGACTCGTGGCCAGTGTTATTGGTGGACTCCCCTCTTTTCTGCCGGAAGTACTCCCCATGCAGAGGAGCTCTCCAAATTCGTGACCTGCCCGAGAGTTATGTGACTGCGATGTGGAAACAACCCCCTCATCAAGAAGAGGTATAACCAGAACGTCGGCTGCCTCGACAAGCGTCAGTGCGACACTTTGAATCATAGCCGCTTCGGTCAAAGAGCATCTGCCCCCCGAAAGGTATCCTAAGGCCTCAGCGGAATCACGGGCTGTACCCCTGGTTGCACTTATACGAAAGTCTGTCACGGGACTTTCAGCCGATCGTTTTTCTGAGGCAAGCATGTCCTGGGTATAACGTGCTGATGCGGTGTCTTGCTTTGCTTCCAATACCGTGTCGTTTGCTTGGTCATGAACGGCAGATGGTAATTCGAGAGTCAGCAGTACGGCGCCCGAATGAAGCTTTTCCAGCCCAACATCTGGGAACAGGACACAAACGGGCGTCGTTAAGGAAAACAAGTGCGTACTCAATGACAACTATGGTTGCTGCCAGCAGATGCTTGAATTGTTCCTACAGAATTGAAGTTTCCGAGAAGCGCAATAAACGTATACAACACACTTGTTGCGGTGCACAGTTGGAGCCAGGATTGCTCCGATGTCCCTTGTAGCAGCTTCGTAGTCCCTTTGTTTTCAGCTGCATCCACTGAAAGGCTGCCGCACTGCTCCATGTCCAAAGAGCTCGCATCACAGCCTAGCAGATCTCTTACGGCCGGGCGCTTGAGAGGACGGCCAATGGTTATCACGAAGGGAGCTGCCCTTGGCGTATCCCCATCTTTCTCCGGCGCCCTTCCAGTCGGAAAAATACTTCGCAGAAGACCTAAGGCCTTCTTACTAGCTTCTCCGTGCACATGACGACTCAGGCTTTGCAGCGCCTGCAGCCACAACAGCGGGCACTGCGTCCGTACGAGATACCTTGCCGCATGAACGGAGCCACCCACTTCAATGAAGATGTTAACGCTGGGAAGAAAAAAGGGCATCGGGGGTGGGGACGTGCTAGCCCTTCAGCACACCTCGCACTTCGGCAGCTGGGCCAAGGAACTGGGCTTCAAAATAACCTATGCATAAATGCACAGATGAGACAGTACCATGGTGTCGAAGGTTCTAGCAGGGCTTGCGGCGACGAAAATATTTACGCGTGACAAGCTGCAGGATCTAGCCTACTTGGGTCCGCATGCATGATCCGTCTGTGGATCCTAGACAGACGAAGGCAGCAAAGAGCCCCCACGCTAAGCGCATCTTCGCAAAAGCGCATTTGCCCTGTTGCTCATGTGAGCGGAATTGCTCTCCCGCGGGTTTCTGAGGGTGCACAATACCACCAGCAACCACAGAAGCCCGCATAGAAGGCCAGCTAAACAGCTCTGGTGGGTCCTGTAGAGATACAAGTACTGGAGCGCACTTTTCCGTGGTACCACTTGGAAGGTACGGGGCGCGTCCATGTATGGGGATCAAAAGAGTCAGCTGCAGAACGTCCTGTGCGCCTCACAATGCTCCCTACCGTTCCTGTGTGCTTTCGATTTTGAGAAAGTGCATTGGGAAACTCAGTGTCAGGAAAACTGTGGACGTGGAGCTCCCCCTTAATAGAAGGAGGTAAGAGTATCTCTAGGCAAGACGTCGGTCACCCGGGCACTTTGGCTGTTCCACAAACACTTCAAAACACAAGAACTCAAATGCCCCTAAAACATTTCATTTGCTCTGCAATCAGGCGGGGGGGAGTGCCACCGTAACATGCCGCTTGTCTCGAAAGGGGCGCCTCAAGGCCATGTGGGGCCCTCAAGCACCGCCGACTAACCCAGACACAACGGTACACAACATCTCAGGATGAGTACAAAATTCCAGAATACACGCCGAAAGTTCCAAGTTTGCTAGTAGATGTTCATTTTCTAGGAGTCAGGCCTTGCAGCCTTCTTCCTTGTCAGCAATGACACTCCAGAGGTACCTGCAGCAGCAGTTACCGGCCGTGTCCTTCATAAAGGTATTCGCCGTGAAATAGTGTTCGTATAAAAAGGAATTGAAATTGCGGCAGAATCGTGCTGGAGTGATCTTGGGGCTCCTGCAATGTGTGTTAAAACACAATCTTCAGCTCTAGCGCTGAACTGGTGGCACAACCCGTTGAGCCCTGATCTCTATATGCCTACGAGGAAGGCGTATTTGTCTAGATACACTAATGCGCTGCTTACATTCATTAATGTACCCTCCACTTTGTTTCCGCCTCATTAGAGCGTCGGTAGTGCGTGACTTCCAGCACTGGGGGGCACGGCGCACGATAGTAGCTCTTTCGCGTGTAGACAGCTTCTGGGTTTCAAGGGGCCAGTACTGCCTTTCCTTCTCATTCCCTTTTTTGTCATCTCTATGCCTCCGAATGTCGCCAAGCTGTTCATCACTGGTCTGGGCTGTAACGAGAGCCTTCGCCCTCAGTCAATGTAGCATTGCCTGTTCAAAGTAGGTACGCGTACTTCTTCTCGGTGGAGGCTTGCTCCTGGCGGCCAAATATGTGCGAAAGAATTGTCTACTGTGTTGTTGCATGCATCAAAATGGGGCTGGGGTGTTGCCTTGCAGCAAGCGTTGCTGCTCGAGGTCCTGCTGCCTGGGGCAAGCTGCCTCCTGCTCACCTTACCAGCAACTGGCATTTCAGTAGCAGACCTCAGAAGACTCTCGGCTGGGTGGAAGGTAAAAATCCCCCTAAATGCTTTGGCCCAGAAGTTGAGTTGACGAAGCGCAGCTAACGAGACATTCTGAGCACCTTCCTCCAAATGTGAGGGAAGGGGGCGAGTACGCATGCATAATAGTACGTGATAAGCACGCTGATGCATAATCAGTAAATGAGCACGCAGCTAGCCATTATTCTGCACCTCGGCGCCGCTTCCATATTTCCACACTTCCAGTGATGGGGGTTGAGTTTAGTGCGTGTGCGTTGAGTCAAGTGCCTTACGAGTTTGTGCTACCTGCCCTTAAGCGGCAGTTGCTCGTGAAGCTTTTGCACTTTACGAGTAGTAAATTGCAATCCAGGAAGAACAACACGGAAGAAATCGTAGCGCTGGACAAAGGTGAGTAGAGAAGCATCGGGCAGGTCAGGCACTTGCATGCAGACTTTCGAAAGCAATTTAAGTGGAGGACACTCTGCTGATACGCCTGCAATCATCCAAACCAACATCTCTGGCTTTGTGGTCCTTTTGGGCACCGTTGCAGGTAGGACGCCAGGCCAGTCTGTTGCTCTAGGCTCTCTGAAGCTTCGCTTCCTGGTCGTGGACTCCATTAGTGACTGCAGGGGCTGAGATCTATTCCGTTCGAAGAAGTGCTGTCACGCCTGCAAGTGACAGCAGCATCAGGAACTGATGCCGCCTACCCGTCGCCTGTTTACTGGATAACAAGAAATCTGGGTAAACAAGAACTTTCTTCGCAGCAATGTGCTTGAGCCGGAGTGCATATAAATGTTCTGCGTAGCGCGTTTCTGCTTCCCAGCAAGACGCCGAGCTGAATCGCAATCCCATATAACTGTTTCCCGGCCAGGCAGTTGCGTTGAGGGACAGATATGCTTGCTGTAACCCTTCTTGGGAGTTCCAACGAATTTGAGACATTTGCTCTGCACCGGCTGTGGCAATGGCGCCGATACACCTGGTAATGGCGACACCGCCCAAGGCTTCTACAGGTCAATTGTCTCTTAGTGGTGGTGCATAGAAAGCAAGGGAGGAGTACGACTCAGCTACGCACCCGGCCGTCGGCGGAAAGGGGCATTAATTAAGGGTAGTTTACTTCTAAGCCATTTGCACAGTGGCACGGGAGTGTCCGCTGGTTTTAGTGAGTCTGGCGGCGTTACCGTCCCTAGCGATGCATCGTGCTGCAACCCGACAAAGTGTGCTTCTTCGAAAGCCGTGAAGAGCAGTCGGAAGGCTAGAAAGTGCAACGGCGCATGCGCAGTTACTCAGCTCAGCAAATTAGGTCAAGTGTCGCTTCGTGCAACATCTCACAAGCGCAACCAAATGATTGTGGTTCTTGAAGCCATGGGAACTTAACTGTTTTGCGAATCGTCGTACGAGCCTTTGCTATATCAAGAGCGATCAACGTCTACTAGGCGTACCTAGGATGCTACCGATCCCTGAGACTTTTTGAGAGGAAATGCGAGTTGCTTGTTCCGGAAGGAAGCAGCCGACGCATCTGAGTCCACTTGGACAGTAGGATTTGAAGCTACAGACAGTGAGCACAACGAGGCCATGCGCGAGGTACAGTTAGGTTCTGCTCTTACCACGTATATACAATAGTTGGAGTGCAGTTGCTGGTAACCAGAGCTTGCCCCCACTACTTTATTACCTGGTATAACGGTTAACAAGGTCGAAGCCGAGCAGGGTGTAGAGCGTTGACGCGCAGTGAATGCTACAGCGCCTCCACAGCCTCATGCTTCGCAACGGCCTCACTCTAAGCAGCAACTAATTATTGCTAGGAAGTCGACTGGAGCAGGGTGTTGGTCCAGGCTAGGGTTTGGGCCTAGTCGCACAATAGAATCGAAGTTCCACTGCCCTTTCGGCGTCGACCGGGTAACCTGAAAAACCCGACAACTGGAGACTGGGGGCGACCTGTGACAAACCACAACTTGCTTTCATACCATCTATGCTCAACGCAAATGCAAAATTTAGCCGGTGCCCCCGCTCAGCTTCCTTTTGGTCCCCGATGCCTCGTGGTCAGATACAAGAGGAACGCTAGGTTGACGAGCTTCAGAAGATACCACTGTGAGTACGCCAAATACCGTTTCTACACCCATGAAGTGACGCAAAATTGTCTGATGTTTCTTTCGCAACCATCTACGGTCGGAAAAAGATGCGTTCCTCAGCACAAGCCAGCGAGGCAAGCTCTCACTGCGCTGAAGGCAGTAAATATTGAAATACTCCCCTACCTGCAACAGAGGATTCAAACTGAGCAACTACAGCAAGCGCACGTTTCCAAAAGATTCGTTCTTTAGCGCAGGTGTGTCTCGGACTGGCCGTCCTTCACACAGAAAAAATCGATACAGAATCTTTCGATTCCTAGAAAATGCGCTGGGCATATGCTAGGCCTCCACAGAGCTTCAAAATTACTCAGATTCCCTATTGGGGGCCGGATTCGCTTATTAGAGTGGGTGTTCCGCCGACTTGGCCTTCAAAGAGCAGCAGTTGTGAACAGTGTGGATCACTGCGAATAGAACAGTGGTACAGAGGCACGGTACCGGCAAATTGCCTTTGCACTGCGAATAGCCCTCGAAGCCTTCGAAACCACTGCTACAGGTTCCGCTGTGCTGCCTCTCTCTCAACAGAGGCGAAAAAGTCATCTGTTGAGAGGGAGGCCTCCACGTTCGATGCAGAGTCTGGGACGCAATGCCCCCTCTTTGCTCTCGATCTTGTCCCGCCTCCTCCTCCAATGGCAGCCATTAGCGGTGCCGGCCCTGCTGTCTGGATGCGCACACTGCCACTGGAGCCTCTCCTAACGACGGAACCTTGAACATCAGTACAACGCCGCGGAGATTCGCCCTCTGCAGTGCTATCCTGTACCAGGTGGCCCCCAAAATTGTTCAAAATACCCTCCCGTGGCGGCACAGTGGCCCAACCAGCGCCGCTCCCAGAAGTAGGGCTTGACGAATGCTTCTGTGTTTCAAAGCCTGGGAGTGTTTCCCACGCGTCCGCTGGAATCTCCATGTCGTCACCTGAAAGACAAATTCTCATTCTGTTTTTCGTCCTCCCTTATGCTAAACCCTAGCTACCTCTAACTGGCATCCGCTCGCAGAATTCAAATGAGTGGATAGACTTAGAGCAATGACTACTACAGGCAGGACAAACATCATGGAAGTAATCTTGAACACGAGATGAACTTCATGCGATACACGGTAAATGGCGTGACACGTTGCGCACCCCACGAATTTATGGGTTCACGTGCATCTTTAAAGTCGTCAGTTGACCGGCTACGGGGCGAACTGGAAGTAGGAGCTGGAGGTGGCTGAGGAGGCTGTGCAGGATGAGAAGGCCCGCCAACTCCAGTGGATGAAGTCTCTCCAATCGTTCCCAAAGATGCAATATGGCTGCTGCCCCTCCTGCTTCCATGCGTGAGAAGTTCTGCCGAATCGGGCTGTTGTTTGCTGAATCCTGCGAAGTAGGCCATGCAAACCAAAGCCCACGCTGTCAATTCATTAAAAAGTAGCTCCCTTGCTGTCCGCCGGGATATGCCTTGTGCTGCTAGGCTCGACCAGCTTCGGCACCCACCTATGGTTAGTCCCAGGCTCTTCATTGTTGCCAGCCACCCATCTGATGGCTTGCATTTGCCTTTGTCCAGTTGATTTGACTGATCTCCTGCAAAATCAGCAAGCTCTCGCAGCCTCACAAGAGGTCATCGGCGTGTGAGCAAAATCGGGTGCACAACCGTAAAACAGACTAGGCTCAGTGTAAGAAATGTGGCCGATGTTCACCTGCTTCTGTTCTGTGGAGTACTGGATGTGTTTGCTCTTCGGCTCTCGCTTTAGCTGCAACTGTTAGGGCATGGATGCATGCTGGGGTCGAGGAGACAACTGCAGCTGACGGAGACAGAAAGCAAGATGAGGCGGCAGTAAGCAAAGTCACCACGCCTGGCAATGGCAGCGAATCCGCACAATAGACACTCGCCTGCATGACGCACAGGAAGACATGAGGTGATTCGAAACGCAAATGAATTCCGCACGTGTACAGAACAGGAATACGCCTGCCCACATATTCAGTCCCACGATAATTAGAAGGAGTGCAGGCCGGGCGGCACTGAATAACGCAGCAAAGGCTTTACCTCCAACCCAGCAAGTCGGATACTTTCTTCTGGATCTCGAAGGGATGCTGACAGGATGTCCACTAACAACGGCGGACACCCACGCGTAGCACTCTCCCTAATGCTCATTGCCGCCGCAGCCGCAGCGACGACAGCCTCAAGGCGAACCACACTTGCAGCGTCTCGCATCCTTTGCTCGAGCAGAGCAAAGGCAGTAGAGGTCTACAGCGCCAAGGAACACAGAAGAAGCAAACGTTCGCACAACATCAATGCCATAGAGCGCTCTCTGACGACTATAAAGTATACGGACGCAAACCGGGTAAACACCTCGGCTACGCCGTCATCCTTTTTTCTGGTCCCCTACGCCACTAGTTTGCAAAACAACTTTTATACTGCCGTGCGGCTCCTGCGGAGTTTGTCCGCTCCCAGGACCACACTCACCTGCGGCGCATCGCGCGGCAAACGCGAAACATAAAGTGACAGAATGCGTGAGGTGAAGGCCCTAATAGGAGGCGCGGAGTCCTCGAGACCGAGAGTCAATGGCGACCATGTGCGAGCAAAAAACTCGTCAGGTAGCAAACTGTGCACTGCAGGTAGCTGGGAAAGCAAGGCGAATCTGAGCAGCGCCAGACGTACAAAGGTCTGCAAGCAGTAAATCGGGGAGGTCGACGCCTGAAATACTAGAGGAAAAATCACGCTTACCGGATGGCCCTATCCGAGCTATCAAAAGCATGGGTCAGCACTTCCGAGAACAGTTGTAACGGCACCGCCGCCTCCTCTCTTGAGCAACTGCTGCGGTTTACCAGGCTTCCTGACGGAGTAGACAAAGGCGTTACAATGGACATGATGCACTTGAGGATGTTACAGTGATACGCCGAAGCGCTGATGTTCATGAGCAATAACGCCAACTCAGGAAGTAGTAAGTGCATAGCCATGCCATACGGTATCTGTTGTTGCTGGAGGGCTGATGGAAGTTGCTGCTCAAAAAATTTCTCCTTGTCCACATGACTCTTGACAGGAAAAGCTCGCATAAATGCCAAAAATTGGCAGCAGACATCCCCTGCCACAGATAATTCAGGCATCCAAACTATTATGCCGTCTTCAAGGCTGTTCGGTGCCCATCAACACAAACAGAAAGTGCCGCAGCGTGCTTTACGTCGGGCCAAAATAAAGTTCACTAGAAGATATGCGTACGGATGCTCAATATTTCTCTTTCTGCCTGACAAAGGAGCTCAAAGTGCTGATATTATGTGAGAAACACTACGCAAAGTAGCATAAAGTTTCCGGGTGTGCTTCTCACAGATGTCAATCGAAAAACTACACTCGTGCAACCGGTCTATCTGCATAGGTTTGCGGAGAGAACAGCATAGAAAGCGTGCCTGTAAAGCATGGATCGCCTCCATCAATCAACTTGGATAGCGGAGCAGCACTTCCGCTCGAATCCAAAATCTTCCGCATCAATCGCTGCAAGGGAAGGGCCAACTGGCTCATGGCCTTGTGGAACGTTGCATCGCTAAGACCAATTGAGAGACCACAGGAAATAGCATCACTTCGCTTAGACCGTAGAGGCCGGCCGGAGCTATAAGGGTCCCGAAGACACTCATGCCACCAGGCAAACACGGAGCAAAGCCCCCATCTGAAAAGAGACACCCCGTTTGCATGATCACACTACCACCGAGTTTTGTAGCAGATGCCCTTTTGCACTAAATGCCCACATCACGCAAGGTGCAGTTCTAACCTGTCAAGATAGTCTGGTGGAGATCCTGCAGCGGGCCTTGGTGGTTCCCATCCCTGGACTGCGCTTGCACTTGACAGCAGTAACGAGTAGAACCCCGGCCACTGCACATCCTCCAAAGCGCGCGTCAAAACAAAGGAGCTCAATTTCCATTTTCCTGCAGATGAAATGCAGTACTGGGCCACCAAGGGGGCAATTGTCCTTATGCTTCTTGCGTAGATCTCAAGCGAGTGCTTCTCTCGATGCTACGCGCACAGTGGTGATCTAACGGTGGTGCCTCGCCCTGTGGGTTTCTGTCGCTGAAATACTCTAGCCCCCTGCTTTGCTGACCCTCATTTATTTTCATGATTGCACATTCCTCACCATGCGGAGTGACGAATATGGAAAAGGGCGAAACCTCGCCGTGGACCAGTTTGCACTGGTCGTGGAGAAAGGAGATGCTCTCCGCCAACTCGAGAAAGTTCCAACAGGTGTTGGCGGCCACTTCAGCGGCAGCAACTGCTGCAGCCTCCGCTTTACGAGTGAAATCTGACATTTCATTAATTGGTGCTGTGGGAGGACCGCATTTCTGCTGCTGTGGCAGCGAGGGGGGCCGCTTAGCAGCCAAGTCTTGCTGCTGCTGTTGCTGTCGGCTTAGGTGCACAACGTGTACCAGGGAAAAACAGCATTCGGTAACAATGTAAAGCGCATTGCTGGTTTCATAGGTGGCAAGTACCTTCAGGAGGTTAGGATGGAGAAGTGTCTTGCATTTTGCGAAGTGGTTTTTCGCCTGATCAAAAGTGTGCTGGGACACTGCGCCGTTGCCTTTGAACGGTGGTGACTGCTGTTTGGCACGTTTCAGTGCAAAGACAGACACCTGAGATGCGTTGCCTGGATTAAGCAATGCATCCAGAATGGGATGCTGGCGACCAGTTGCTTCCGCAGCTGCGCTGGTCTGTTGCTTTGTGCTGGTCGCAGAAAATTGAACGAATCCGCCAGGTAGCTCAAATCCATAAGGTATGGCGGATCCGAGGGTATAAGGGAAGTTTGTTGGTAGATCCCCCCATGATGAAATGCTTTTCCACAGAGACTGCAGCATCGCTTTCAATATAGGTGGAGGAATGCCGTCTACAACGGAACTGCAGCCAGTTGCGGACAACAGCTCCTCAGTACGACCCCTACGGAAGGAGACAATGCATCTACGTTAGTTAATTCGTCTTAGGATGCTGGAATGAAGCAGTGTCAACTCCTGTTGTGTCGAATGTGACTGGATGCCGCGTCGTAACTTGAAGCAGCTGATATAGATCACGAGTACCGGCTCAGCATTAGGTGCAGTACCCAGTTCAGTCGGATATCTAACCGTACAGAAAAACAAGAAGACAAAAGCCACTAGATGCGAGAGCCGGGAGTTCTTGTGATAAACAGAACTAGTCCTTCTTTCGGCGTGCGTTTCCATTTCAGTCTCATCCAGCCCCAACCACTGTCACCTGCTCGGGAACGTTTTTTTTCTGCGTCTACAGTATTATTTCCGTTCCCGCAGTGCCGTATGCGTTTCCTGTTGAAGTTCCAGGCTTATTTTGATGCATTGGACGTTAGTTTTCCCCAATTCCTGCCAAATTCCTCCCTACCTCTCCGTTATTGACTCCTCTGCCCGCGCACTGGACTCGTGAACAGCGCGTACTCTGCTGCAACTACGTTAAGTCCCACGTCCACTTACTACGGGAGCACTCTACATCCACGCACTATTCCCAACGAATATTCCCTAAATCATCCTAAGTTGTCAAGTAACATTCTGTACAGCATATTCGAGTCCTATTTTCTTAAAAGGGAAAAACCGAAGAACAACAAATTTGACCCATAGTGCGCCAGCGCCTAGGCGGCAGTGCCAGCCTCACTACCAGCCCCGAACCCTGGATTGCTGCCGAGCACTCGTAGCCTCATAATCTTAGTATCTGTAAATTGGTTTGATTTATCTAATATTATAGCATTTGTACCCTCCGGCAAGGCAGACCTGTAGAGGGCCCATTTGAGGTCCATTGTAGTGCCTGCCCACTACAGGGCTGGCTTTCCTGCTGTTGCTTTTTTCTCTTCCCTTCTCACCTAGATACCTTGCTGTTAGGAGGCTCCAGAAGCCTCCTCACAGCAAGGTACGCTGTCACCATCATCATAATCGTTTGACTATGTTCTGTACGACAGTTAGAGATTGTCATCGAAGGCTAGGGCCGCCCGTGTGCGCGACGAATTCGCGTCCGCCAGACTGAGGCGTCCAGGGACAACTTTTGTTCGATAGTTTAGGTCTATTTCGCACTTCTGGATGTTGAACTGGGTGCAGCTGTAAAGACGTTGCGGCCACTGCTGCTCCCGTAGGACGCTGTCTGTAACGACAGGCCTCGACTGTAGCGTGCTCTTCTTTGGGAGGGTCGTCGATCCTATCAGAGAGATGTCACGAGGTGCAGAAGTTTCAAATTACTTGGTGTAGGCGTTTCCAGAAACAAAAGGCACCCGTTCCCAGTCTCGAGGCGTCCTGGGCACAGCGGCCCAAGGGCCTGGAGCTGGGGTGTGAAAGCGGCCTGTTGTGATTTGCAACGCACATTCCTGCAACCGTTGCAAGATAACCCTCATGTTTGTACAGATAAACCGGCTTTGCGCATGCAAGGACACTGCAGATAGTTGGTTTGCACTTGCTTGTCACCCAGAAGGCAGCGTACACGCAAGCAGAAATGCTGTACTTCAGAAATAGCACGCTACATTGCCCCCGCTTTGGGCCAAGCAGCACACGCCTTTGTATACCTAGTAGAGCAGCATAAGGCGGGTGGACTCCAAGGATGAGCCCTGCTGCATCTACTTGCTGCTGCTTGGGTTTGTGTTGCTTCGCGCCGCCATCGGTTGCTCCTGCTACATCTCCTTACGGCTGCGTCCCTTGTTGTTGCCTATCTTGCTGCTGGGTGTTTTTGATTTTGTGCCGTTTTTCTCTGCATCTCTTGCTGCTGCATCGCTTGCTGCTGCGTCCCTTGTTGGTGCACAGCTTTTGCGTTGGAGTCCCAGCTGCTTGGGAAACACTTTCTGGTGCTGTTAATCTCTAAATGAGAGGGATGCAGATCTTAAGTCGCTGCGTATGCCACTCCGCTGTCAACATGAACACCCCTTTGGGGTAAAAGCAACCCCACAACGAAGTCAGGATCGGCAAGCGCGGCAGATGAGTCCGTGGACCTGCCATGAGTCTGTTTTGAGTAATATACCCTGCATTGTCTGGCACTGCTGCTGTCTCTGTTTGTTCTAGGGTCCCGCTGTTTGCGTCAGTGCTGTGTGTGTTTTCTTCCTTTTGCTGCGCCTGGAGGGCCCCACCGCTTTGCGCAGCGACAGCCATTTTGCGTGTGTTGCAGCAAATCTCATCGTGGGGAGCCGAGAAAAGTAGAAGCCGGCGGAGCATGTGCCTGCAGGTGTTACTGAGTGCAGCAGTTCCTCCCTGATATCCATCCCAGGTAAATGCTCCATACGCCTCCGCAGCCCATCGCCAGGCAACGCCAGGCCCTTCTGCAGCAACTATAGTGCTTGCTGTGCAGTTGCTGCCGCGACACGCCTCTCCATTACTCCTGAGCAGAGGAACCAGTACTTCCTTCCATTTCAACTACTGATCCTGCCCCTGCTGGTCCCGTTCCTGCTGTAGCTGCTGTTCTTAAGCCTACGAATTCCGCTCGCTTATCTGCTCTGGCTGGGAAAGGGATCGAAAAAGCTACCCAGTTGAATATCCAGCCAATAGCCTCTTCGAAAAGGCATAATGACGACAAAAGCGAAGAAAAAAGAGAGAGCGAGCTGAGAACACTTCTGTAGCTCAAAGCAGCAGACGCAACTCGGACGCGCGGAAAGCCCACTGAAGCAGAGCAGCTGTGTCCTCTACACAGGGACGTAATTTACAAGGAGTAACGATGAGTTCTTCCTACCTAAGTTCCGACAAGGTGCATCTAAGGGACGAGGAAGGGCAACAGTTGCAAGCTGAATGGCCACGGATAAAAACCACAATAGGACGAAAGGCAAAAGCCAACCCACTCTAGCCTAGGCCTTTCTTCATCCGCCTTCTGCCGCTCCCGTGCTGCTGCGTCCGCTAGCGCAGATCGCTGCTGCTGTTGCTATTGTTTTTGTTGAGCGCATGACGTTGCGGCAACCCGGGGCGGGCATACCTCATTGCGACACCCTCTTGCAGTGCCCTTTTCTTCAGAGCCCATCACGTAGTGCAGACTACGCAGTAGTATGAAAGCTCCAACTCTAGCGCACAGCTTGTATGAGTTGCGGATCTCTGCTAAGCACCACGGTGTGCGGCTCAGCCCAAAAATGTGGAGAAAACGAATTGTTGTCTGTAGCGTCGCCGTGCCCGCCGTCGGCACAGGAAGGGGAGTATATCAAAAAGGAGAAGTACGCTACGCCGGAGATCATATATGTAGAAGGCTGTGCGCCCCTCTACAGAGGAGACAGAACTGTCCACATAGAATTGTGCGCAGCTCAACTCTGCTCCGTGCCGTGCGCGCCCTCGTTTGTAGTCGCCGCGTCTGAGCCAAGCAAAGCGCTTAGATGCTCTTGTAGAATCGCCTCGCACAAGGGATCGTCAGAAACCATTCGGGTTGTTGGCCTCCAAGCTATTTCTCGTTTTCTGTGGCCTTTAAGGATCCTTACACGTGCGCCCGTCACCTCCGACTGTTCCCTCGAGCAACGACGTCTTCCGTAGTGCGAGGAGAGTTCGGGGGAATTTCGTTGAATCACTGACTGTTTTAGGCATCAATGGTATGGTAGCATATCAGCATATCCACCTTTGGGTGTGTCAACGGTGTCAGCCAATGTGATAAACCGAAAACGAGCAGCAAAGAGCGCTACCCAACGTATGGCAATGGTTTACTTCTTTGGCTGCTTGCTCTCCTGCGGTTCTCGAAAAGGGTACGAAATCACTAAACCTACCCTGCCTGAGTCTAAAGTGGCTGCTGAACGCCGTTTTTCCTGAATTTCTTGACTAGCTCCCCCTCGCGTTCTTCATGCGTTCCCGCTGCATCTCAAGCTGGGTCGAAACTCAGAAGCTGCATGCACACGTGTCTGGCTTTTAGCAGCCATATCTAATGTCGGGCTACTCAACAGTGTTTTGGTGAAGACTCGTGATGCTAAAAATGCAGCTGATAGAATAGTGCACCCTTCTATTATACGCCCACTCCAGAAAGGGGAGGAAATCACGCCATTGTGGTGATATGACTGCGCTCAGACTCTCAACTGCTGCAAAAGCATGTGGCTGATAAGTTCAGTTTGAGCGTCTTCCTCCTTGTGCTTCGCTCTAGTAACAATTCAGTTGGCACTGAGAGGCTTTATGAATTGGTGTCAGAAGCAATACAGCTTTTCCGGAAACCCTGGAGATTTCAAAGAAATTAATCAGGCCACTCGCTCTGCTGCAACTGAACTCGATCATGGCAATGAAAAGGACATATTTGCTAAATCCATCCTTGACAAACCCGCTACCCTCACACCCTCCAACTCATAGGCAAGAAAGTAAGAAATCTACTGATATATCCGCCAGATTCACTAGGGAACCAAAAGATCCTGCAAGAGTGCCGCTTTTGGAGGTGTTCTGCAGCTATTGCTGCTGTCATTGTGGACGGGTGAGGAGGTATTATTTGGCTGTGGACACCAAGAGGCCCTAGCCACCAGTTCAATTGCTGTGTTGACCTCACCGTGGCCTGCCACAGCAAGTTCGTGCATAAAGCTGGTGTCGACACCGCTTCACTCCCTACGCACCTGCAGAGGGCTCCTTCTTGCGTACCGAACACTTTTGCTACCTCTCGCTGAAGTTGTATAAGTAGCAGACGGTAATTTTGCGCGTTTCATGCCGTTGGGTTGCCAAAGAGCATCCTCCCAAACAAATCTGAAACTGGAGTAGGTCGTTAGGACAAAGCGTTTGTCGAAGTCAAGAAGCTCGAGTACAGGCGAAAATCTCGATGAGGCTTCTGGCGGCTTATTCTTTGTTCGCGTTCTATGTTCCATTCTGTCGATGTCCCCCGAAGAAAGTGGAATCTGCGTCTGGGCATTGCCACCGTTGCTCCGCTTTCCCTTGAAAAAAGACTTTGTTGGCAAGTGTAGTTTTTCGGGTTCCTTCTTATGAGAAAAGCGCAACTCCAAAGAAGTCCCTAACTGCCGTCACAGCATGATGCCTGTCATGCATGGGTGGTAGGGAAAGGCGGATGTATTTCTCATGGTATGGTTTCGCAGTTAGAACACTCTTAGTTGGATGTACTGCCCTCGTTCCAGTGAAACAAGCCGCCCTGCCGTTGGTTTCCTCCCACCTGGAAGCCAGATCCTAATCAACCTCCACATCAAGAGGAAGGAAGCGCTGAATCTTCGATAAAGATTTCTCGGAGAATACCTAGAAGTTTTCTCTTTTGGCAATGCGCGCCTTCACGAGTTATAGGTGCTCTCCACGAGGCCACATTGCCGTGGAGGGTGCGGTTCACAACTTGCACTTTCCTCAATGAGCCATGGGGTGCTACCAAGTGTAACAAGATTCTGCGGTCACAGAAGGTGACTGTCGTGAGCTGCAAGTGTCCAAAGACTTGGAATACGAGTTTCCGGAAAGCGGCTGATCTCCACTCCTGCCTTCAGGGTTCCCAGGCACAGCAGCCGAAGGCCCCAGGGCTGGTGCGTAAAGGGGCTGTGCTCTCATGGGTTGCAGCATTGCTTGCAGCAAATCCTACTGCACGGAAAACCCAGGCACAAGCGTGGCCAAGCAAGCTATATATGCATGCACGAACACTGTAGGCAATTGAATCACATTTATTTGCCTGTCAGTAGCCAACGTGCGGGTAAGTAGGAATCCATATATCAACTTCTGGCGGACCATGCTACGAAGGGGAGTCAGTTACGGCTCTGTGGACTGGAGCGGAGGAACAAATAGAATTGATGAAATATCAGTCTCAATGTTTCCACCCCCAATTATTCTCCTTACTAACTATTTAACTGTTTTCATAAAGACATGGAGAAGAAGCTAGGGAAAACAGAGTGCTGCCTCACTTTAGCACAGCTTGAGGAGGTGGTCAGCATCGCAGCTAAATGGCATCTTCCAGGCAGCGACTAGAACTTTAATCAAGAAGGAAGACAATGCTTGCTAAGGCACAACTTTCAAGGAGAGGAAATATCGCAAAGAATCAACAGCACCCACCAACTGGGAAGTTGTTGACGTTTGGTCACTCCAAGCATATTCACCCCATTGGACAGCATTTTCGGGCTTATTCATCATTTCGTAATTGTGGCGGCTTCTACAGGGAAGCTTGCATTTAGGGCTGCTTACTACCAAACTCAGTCGACTGTTCTCTCGTTCAGCCCTAGCTCGGCCGTTGCGCGAGTGACCGAAGGTTGAGTGCCTACTGTGGGCAAAGTAGTTAAAAATAGGATAGATCGCACCCAGACTATTCGGCTTTTGCATTTACCAACGTTTGGGTAGACTTTCGCTACACTTGATAGGGCCTCATCGTTGAAGGCCTACTGGTTGCCGCTCCCTTGAGCAACCCCACTGCTTGCGGCTAGTCTGGAAGAGTTGCTCTCAGTGGATATTCTGCGTGCTAGAAGGCCTCTAGCTTATTTAGGAATCCTGTTACACAAGAAAACCTTTCCAGATCTGCATATTTTTCCGAGTGGGAGCTGTAGCTTTCCCGTGGAGTATTTCCCTCCCGCCAGGGACTATACTTGACTATACAATGGCTGGCTTACTGGAGCCGGAGGTATCTGGGTTCGATGTAAGCGGAGTATCGCCTCATGCATTCTGAAGGAGTCGTTCGTCACATGACGACGCGAGGTACACACGCTAAGGAGGCGCATTGGGACGAGCCACGGCAGACATCAAGTTTTGCAATGCACCGTGCTCATCAGGATGGAAGCCGATCTTCTGACCACGATGAGGGCGCATCACGCTTTGCCGCCCTCGTGCGCTGCAGTGTGCAGGAGGCGCAGGAATGGCTGTGTAAGAGCGCTGGTTCTATTGAAGCAGCCCTGGATAGTTATCTTGCCCAAGAACGATCTTCCAAGCGACACAAGACAAATGCAGCTTCGCCTCGTCCATGCAGCCCGAGTTTAAACTCGGCATTTAGCCCAGTTGAGGTGGATTTTGCCCCTCGTAAATCCGCTACTGTGTGGAAGAGGCACTCCGAAACCTCCAGGAGAGCAAGTCCGGATTTTTTCGGTCCGGGGGGCCAAGCGAAAGTCCAAGCAGGTCGAGAAACACCTTCTGGAAACACAGAGTTATTGATAGACCTGGTTGACGACTCAGGTGAAGAAGACGGAAATCTGACGAGTGAAACTAAGGTGTGCGATCCACGCAAAACAGCTGGTGAGGCGCTTTTCAACAGGAGTGCTGAGGATACGCGTACAGTGGTGCGCAAAAGAGAACTGTGTTTTCGATTTCTCGCATGCTGTGAGATATGGACAGTGGTGGGTCAGCCTGTAGCACAGCTAACACGCTCGGTATAGCAGGGATTGCTTGCTCAGGCAAATTTGGCTGCGCTGACGAAGTACCCCCCCCCGAACCTGCCAAGGGGCCACCCGCTCCTGCTGTCGATGATCTTCCAGACGACTTTTCGTTTTTTCTTGGTAAATGCGTGGCAAGCGGCACCGTCACGAGCGGCACAATGAGCAAATTGAGCCTCACAGTGAGTCGTCGCTCATTCTTGCTCCGCACTCCTGCCGTTAGCCAGTTAGGCATCCCGGCTTGTCTTCGTCTGGATTAAAGGCGCTTTGCTGAGTATATTCACCATCTCTCAGTTGGCGTCATCGACGCTTGAGGCTGGCTACTCTGTACTGCCATTGTCTCAGGATCCGTTGACACTGATGGTAGAGGTACGGCTGCCTCATACACAAAGATGGGGGCCACAGCAAGGTTCCCGCAGGGCTAAAGTATCTAACAGCGGATACAGGATCCTTTACATACACCTCGACGACCCCGTCCTCCTAGAGCACCAACGACGCCTAGGGCAACCAAACCTCCGCTCTCGACGTCCTGATGAAAGCCCACTTTTCTCGTGTGGCTCATCGAACGCAGTAGGGGGTAAGAAAGCAGCGAAAGGTTCCAACCGCTGCAGCCCGCTGGCAGGATTGGACTTCCACAACCTTCTTTCCAGCATCTCTGAACAGACAACTTTCTTGCGTCTTCTCATTGACGACCGGGAAGCTGTACGCTTTGACAGGGAGGTGGCTAGCGCCTTAGCCCCTCTGCTCCTTTTGGGGGCCATTAAGGTAAGACTTGGGAATGCAGAACGTCCTCCCCCATACAAATACTTCTTTTGTAAGCTGAGTTTCTTCATTCTAGGATGCTGTAGGTGCTGACAAGTTCAAAGGCCTCTCGTGGTCAGTGCTTTGATTGGGCCGTTGCGATTTCATAGGTCGACGTCTGCTGGCTTCCAGATAAAATGCCGCCTCGCCGTCTCGCGATTAACAGTACTCTTTCCGTCCGCATGACTGTGCATATGACCATACAGGCGCTTCGCTTGAGCGCGCTTCGGCAAAGGTAGCAATTGCTCAGGATGCTACTTGCTGAACTAGGGCTGCGTGGAAACCACCTTTACGGACACTTCTTAGAAGTGCTACACTTTGGCTCAGTGCCGACGCCTACCGTTCTGCGCGAAATGCCTTTCGTGCATGTGCATTTTTCTGTAGTCCTACCCGGTTTACATGGCTGTCCAGTGCTTTCTTTTCCTTTGTGCTCCCGTGCGAAGATTTTTTTGCGTTTTGTTTTGGTTATCACTGTTATCCATTGCCGTTTTTGATTGTTTTGTCTCAGAGGAGATCCATATTTGAGTCAAGTTCACTTTCCTCTTCTGATCGGACAGGCGTTTGAGTCACTTCTGCACCTTCTGGCCTTGCAGCCAGTCCCTGCCGGTTCTTTACTGCCAGAGGAGGAAAGGGACGCCAATGTATTGGGGCCGGATGAAGAGGCCGAAGTCCGCAAGTCCCTGGATAGCCTTAGTCGACCTAAGGGGCCCTCTGGGTCATCGCTAACCGGAAAAGAAGACACAAGGGGAGCATCAGAACGTTCTCTCCAGGGAGCATCTCGTGCCTTCAACAGGGAGGAAGAAAGAGGGGAAGTTAGTGAAGGCACCGATGTCTTTGATGAAGATGAAGAATATGCGGAAAGGAGCGACGCTCTCTGCCAACTGGTATTGAAAGACCGTGCTGAATCAGCCAACCTGCAGCGAGAACAGCAACGTCGGCGCCGACTGGGCAGTCTATACCCTCCAGCTAGTATGTTTGCCTCCCGCCTTCGTCCATATCAGGCTCAGGGTCTCTGGTGGATGCTTCAATGTGAATCGGAACAGAGCCTGCGCCTGGAAGATGAAGATGAAGAGCTTGATCCGCTCTGGGCAAAGTACGATCTTCCTTCTGCTGCAGCTGCTTATGGTACGATGCATGGCCCGACACTGGTCCCGGCACCCTCCTCAGATTGCAAGCGTGCCAGGACGTTCGTTCCCAGGTGTTTCTACCTAAATACGAGTTCAGGGCTCGTTTCACTGGAGAAGCCAAGCACAACGGGCCGAGTGAGAGGCGGCATTTTAGCAGACTGCATGGGCTTGGGGAAGACTGTGCAAGTCCTTGCCCTCATTGCTGTCAGCGAATATCAAGAGAGGGATCCTGCGGGTGCTGCTATATGGCTGGCAGCGTCAGTGGGGGGCTGTGCACACGACACGGGAGCAGCCTCACGGACCTCAAGTGCAGCAAAGCCCGTGAGCAGCCCAGACGAACTGACAGGAGCAGCTGCTAGGCAGTGGGATGCTTTCGCGTCGTCGCAGCTGTCTGCATCTCCAATATCTGTAAGCTCCGACGGCGACGGTGCAGACCTGAACCGTGGCCGTGGGCAACCTATTCCTTCAGGGGGGAGGAATAGTCTGTTGGCTGTCGATCCCCACACTTTACAACGCACTCTGAAACGCGGTAGAGACAATCTTCTGCAAGGGGGAACTCTCATTGTCGTGCCACTTTCGCTCATAGGGCAATGGTACGCAGAGGTGCAGAGGCACTTAGCACGCGGGGTGGCGACGGTCTTGCAGTATTACGGCCCTGCTCGCCCAAGAGACCCCAAAGTGCTCGCTGCATACACCATTGTGCTCACCAGCTACCAAACACTTGCATCCGACTTCCGTCATCTATCAAAGCACATACAGGCAGAGAAAGGTACCTTGCACTGTGAACCGCATTCGGCCCACACACTGGAGCTAGGATGCGTCCCCGAAAGCCCTATTGCTAGCATTCGTTTTCGGAGGGTTATACTGGACGAAGGCCACATTATCAAGAATACCTCGTCACTCGTTAACCGTGCGTGCAATTCTGTGGAGGCTGACTCACGGTAACTCGCCCCTATTTCCCAGAATTCTTCTCTTTTTGCTGAACGGACGCGAAAGCCGCTTTGGAACAGTTGCTTCTAGCTGTGAACTTTTTGAGCGTTTCTCAGTTGGGTACTGACGGGAACGCCTTTGCAAAATGATCTCTCGGACGCATTTGCCCTTGTCCAATTCCTTCGTGTCTCTCCTATGGGTAGTCGGAGGTGGTGGAGGGCAAAAGTCACTCAAGCCATGGAACGAGGTATAATTGTGGTTGCTTGACTCGTTGTGGGGAGTGGGACAACTTCATATCCCTTGGTTTTGTTGAATGCTCTGGGACAGAAGAGGTGTTTTTGTTGCAGGGATGGTGCGGGCGGCAGTCGAGACAGTGCGGAGCATATTAGTTCCGTTGATGCTGCGACGGCACGGGGATCAAATAGGAGAGGATGGAAAACCACTTTTGCCGCTTCCGCCGCTCACAATCCACACCTTCACGTTACAGCTTACGTATGAGGAACGTCTTTTCTATCAGGTTAGCTTGCGTTTGCGAAACCACTTTTTCCGTGTTTGTTCCAACTTGTAGAGGCTATGTAAGTCCGGCATCTCGGTGGTAGTGGCAGCAACATGAATAAGGAAAGGATAACGCTGGCTCTGCGATGTCTATACAGACCATTTTTGAGCATAGCAAGGCCAAATTTGACCAGCTTGTTCAAAGTGGCCAAGTGCTGCAGCATTACACACACGTCCTTCAACTCCTCCTAAGGCTGCGCCAAGCGTGCAATCATCCCCTGCTTCCGTCGCACCGTGAACAGCAACGCCGTCAACAGTTCATCGATTTGATATGCCCCGCTCAGGATCCTTTGAAATGTCGAAGCCGCGATGCTCTCGGGGGACTGACGAGTCCATCTCCGGTAAGGCCTGCGCAGAAAGTCTTGACTACCATTGTTTTGGCGCGTGTACTTAGCCCTGCGCACTGCGGAAAAGCTTGCTCCGATGCGCACATTGCACCTGCTTTATCTACGCATTTCCATTGGGCAATGATGATGTGGCTGTGTACGAGCCTTCACTCGAAGATATCCTGGCTATGCAATGGCATGATTTCGTTTCTATCTGCTACAGCCTCCACGTCCGGCGCCTGACCCAATTTTACAAAAATACATCCAGGATGCTGTGGAGGGTAAGCTTGAAGATTGTCCGATTTGTCTCGAGCCGCCAACCGACGCAGTCGTGCTAACAAACTGCTGGCATGTGCTTTGCGTCACCTGCGTGTTGCTGCTGCAAAGCAATAGCAACGGCGCAGCAGCGGCTTGCCCAACATGCAGAAGTAAGTTCCTTCATCAGCACGTCCGGCTGCTTCCGAGCGGTCCGAAGGCATCTGCCCAGCGATGGATTCAAGTCGTGCAGAAGAAACACCGTGAGGCGCTCGCAGCTGCGGACGAGGCAGGATCAAAAGATGGCAAGCAGACCGGGGCGCAACAGGCACCATCAGGAGAGAGAGAGTGCTTCTCTTCAGTTTTGAATGCGGCATGTCCAACGGAGGATAGCTCTACGGATTTACACATTTCCGCTGCAAAGTATGAGGGAGCTCTTCTTGCAATATCTGACGACACTTTTTTTTTCAGCACAAAAATGCGACTACTTCTTGCGCTTTTGGAAGCAGACGTTACTGCGGGAAGGTCCTGCGTCATCTTCTCGCAGTGGACATCAATGCTGGACCTCTTGGAGATGGCATTTGCACGCGTCGAAGCGGTTCGCAGCGCTGTGCAACCCCGTGTCTCAGGTGCCAGAAATGATGATAATGATGATGATGATGATGTTGTTGAGATGGGAGCCACTTCTGCTGAAAGGGATACACCTCACTTTCCAACTGGCAAGCTTAACAATGAGGTTAGGAGAGGGGAATACCTCCTCTCAGCCCAGCAGGAAGCGCCGACTAAGCGGCTGTACAACTACCGTCGGATTGATGGAACACTAGGCCTAGAGGCCCGACAACGCACAATTCAGTGGTTCTCAGACGATAACTTGCGTTCCATGTCACCTAAAGTAGGTTCGTGCACCTCAAGAGCAACTGAGGCGGAAGTAGAGCCGTTTATGGGGCAGTTTAATCTGCAGCCTTTCGCTTGCGCGAGCGATCCGACTGGGGATTGGCATAGGGAAGGTGGTCCACCATTAAAGCAGTTCGGCGCAACAAAGTCAACCATGGGGAATAAAGGCGGCGAGGACCGTCTTTCTTCTCAACATGGAAAGATACTCTTATTGTCCTTAAAGACGGGGAATGTGGGGCTTAACCTTGTTAAAGCAACACGCTGTTACCTCATTGACGGTTGGTGGAATCCTCAGGTCGAGAAGCAGGCGATGAGGCGCCTTTGGCGGTACGGACAGGTGAGACCGTTACCCACTCCTACTGGCCTGTGCCTATAGACTGCTTTATTTGGACAGTTAGCAAATGCCTGCAGCTTGCGGCATTCTTTGTTTTTCGTTTACTGCCTAAGCCACATAGTGGAATAGTGGGCCTCGCGCATATGGTTCCAAGGCTTAATATGCCTGGCTTCGCTACTCCCGAAAATGCGATTGCGCCATGCTGACAGGATCAACCCGTTTCTGTCTATCGCTTTGTGTGCGCTCGAACGGTTGAAGAGCGGATGGAGGAGCTGATGGAGTGGAAAGGCCGTCTTTCGCGAACCACTCTTCGCTCCGCGGATGGCTTTGAGCAGGAGAGACCAGCGGACCCGGAGGCAGGCGACGCTGACAAGAGAAGAGGACGCCTGTCTCTGCAGGACCTTAAAAAGCTGTTTGAAGGATGGGAAGCTGGCTCAGTTCCCACATAGATCTTGCTATTTTGACAGGGTACAATTGCCTTTATAGGGCATATTGCCCAATGGATCTCGCTTGGGTTTGCGTCCCGTTCGTGAACAAGAAGCAAGAGCAGTCATCGTTATTCAACTTGCAGAGCTGTCTATGTCCGAGTAAATAATGCGAGTTCTTGCTGCAGTGCCTTTGCACACTTTTGCCGCCTTCCTTGTTACTGGAATAGGCCGGCGTCCTGTTATGTAGGGATAGTGCTCCAGCGCACGGATAGCTGAGTAGGCCTTGCAACCACCGAAGAACACAGCAAATTAGATGCTGACTGCATTCTTGGGGGGAGGCTGTCTCGATGACAAGGCGTTTAGGGCTTTGCCGCACTCTGTTACTGTGCTCAGTGCGTGTAGTGCTTCAACCTACCTCTAGGCAAAAATACAGCCCAGTTGACAGGGAGATGGTCTGGGATCTCTTTCCAGTTTCCCCGGCAGAGCTGCTGCTTCAGCGAATGTGGTAAAGATTTTACAGGAGGGGGTCATCGTGCTTGCCGTTACTGCCTCTGTCGGGCGCACTTATCGGTAGCAGGGTCGAAGTATTGCCATGGTCACTTAGTGGGCCACAAAAGTTGAAGAATAGAGATGGAGTCCCAGCAGGTACTATCATAAGCTGATAATGATGCTGCTTGTTATATACATATTTCAGCTCGATACCTACCAACGGTGCGAGCTCGTGTGTTTGTACTAGTGCATGCCGCCAGCTTTTGCCTCGTCGTGTGTCTTATTAGCAAGTTCTGTCTAAATGTGAAGGTGCAGACACCCCATAATAATAGCAAGCGTTGATACATGCAAAGTGAGGAAGACTTTGTGCTGGGTACTCGGTCTGTGCCGCTACTGTGTTGGGCCTCCGCTGATAAGCGAGATAAACAATACGGCATCAAGCCAGGTCAGTTTGTAACGATACTTAAAAATAGTAGTGCACCTGCAAATTCACCAAGGAGCGGTCCCGCGACTAATATGCCAGTTTCACAAGGGAACTGAAGTACTTGTCGGGGGCGCCAGGCAATTCCAACTAAGAGTTCCCCGTGCGTTTTCTTCTGTGTATTCCACACTATATGGCAAAACTATATCGAATTCAACGCTGCTTAGGGATTACATTTCCTCGAGTGCGCAGCCGACCAGAATAATAGACTTGGGGGAGCGAGTACTGGAGGCTCACTCCAGATTGCGGGGGCTTCGAGCAGAGCAGCATTAGCCCCTTCCGCTTGCTTCCAGCATTTAAGCAAACACTTACTACTCATATTTCAAGGTGTACACATCTCTTTATTTGTAATCTTTAGCCGTCAGGCTTTTGGGGCCCCTCTCCTTGGAGGCGGTCTGGGGTGAGCTTGCGGATGGCCAAAACCCTTCAGAGGGTAATTAGCGTAGCAAATTCAATGGATTAGATAGCGCGGGCTTCGTTTCTGCAACCTTCGTCTACCTATAAGCTCCAAAATTTATGGTGTCCACAGCCCTCGGTGCCGCCACAGTTATATGTTTCCAGTTACGTGGAGCCACTGGCCTTGAAGGGAAGGGGTGCTGGACTTCGCCTAAGGAGCAGATCAGTCTGTAGCGGCTTGGTACTGCTTTTCACTCCCCATTTGCTCAGGGGACGACATGAGGCGGCTGCTGCCACTGCGAGGTATTTCCAGCGGCAGGGCCTGCTGTAGCCAAGAGGCTGCTAGAAACAATCTAGAGGAGCTATGGAGGGGCATTTCCGGCCTCAGCCTGCCCTGAAGGGCTCTCCTGAAGAGGTCCTGGGAGGAAAGTCTGGTCTATGGAGCCGTCTTCCTCATCAACGTAGTGGTTGCGGGAGGTCCAGTCCCCACTGCAGGGAACGGGAACCCAGCCCACCAGCCTACACAGGTATAAAACTGGGTCCAGAGATCCCTCAGAAGATGCAAATTCCCAAAGTACCTCCTCCACCAATTGAGCTGTGCCCATTTGGGGACCAACATACTGCAGCGCTTCCTGAAGGGGAACAAGGCTGCGTGCTTTCTCGGGCGCAGAACTGTTTGCGGGTCCCGCTACAGCATATAAAGCACTTCGCTTCTCAGGGTGATGTCGCTGCAAGTGAGACGTGCTGCGACACTTCGTCGAAAAACCCGGTTGTGGCGCAGCTGGTTACGGGGATACGTGCGCAACCTCGGGGTGATGGACTTTTATCATCTTGTCGCAGCGCAGCAGGACTGCACTTTTCTCGGGCACAACATAGTTCGCTGGCTCTAAGCTGCAGTGGCCCTGGGGAAAGTTTGGCAGCAAGAGGACCAGCAGGATCATCATCAGAAGCAGCAGCAGGAAGCAGCAACTGGGCATTTAACAAAACAGACGGAGCCCCTACTGGATCGCAAAGCCGCGTAGCATTGAAACAAAACTCGAGCGAGCTAACGGGAAGCACTCAAAGAGAAGTCAGGGAAATGCAACGTGATTGCGGGTTTCCGCGTGTCGCTTTTTGTGAGCCATTGCCGCCGGGAGGTCACCGAACCAACCAAATGGGGGATGCCCGAGCGGCCCCCTCCACCTTAAGACAAAACTGTCCAGCATTTCTCGCGAGTAGTGGTGAAGACGGTCAGGCAGGCATAGGAGGACCAGGGCCATCACCTGCAGGATCTGCAGTATCAGCGGTTAGAGGAGGACTTCCAGCGAATGCGCCACCTGCGGAGCGTCTACCATCTATTGGCGGATCACGGGTGACCCGCAGTCAGACAGCAGCTGCTGCGCTGACCGAGGTGGTCCGAATCGAAGATTCTTCTGACGAAGAGGAAGGACGGGCGGTCGCTCACAAGCAGGACGTCAATGCCTCTGAAGGGGAGACTCACGACAATGCTCAGCCCACAACTAAAGCTGCGCATGCAAGGAATGTCTTCAGTTCCTTGTCTGGACTTCCCCGGGGTGCCATGGAAGGTGGAACGGAAGCGGCGACTGCTTTTCTTATATTGGTGGCAGCACTGGTTTGGGCGGACGGGCACTGTTGTGTGCTTAGTGCCGAAGCCCTCAATAGGGCTGCAGCAGAGTGTGCAATGCTGAAGCCGCACCAGCATTACCGGAGCAGCAATGGAGGGGTATCAGCTTCAACAGATGAAGCCAACAGAATAGCAGCGGATAGACGTGAGGACACAGGGAATGGGGTGCTGGTGTTGCAAGCAAGCCCTGAGGAGGGCGGCATTTCGCTTGATCTGTGGCAGCCGCTCCCAGAATCGGCTCCGGCGGCTCCAGAAGCCGGGCAAAAGGTATGTTCTGGGGCCTCGCATGACAGGCCAGCTGAGTTGACTTCCAATGACGGCCTAGTCGGCATCCTTTGTTTTCACAAGAGCATAATTTCTCATGTAAGGTGGATACGCCTCGCCGCTGCAGCGGCTTTTCCAGACGTCCAGAAGTCAAAGCTGGGCGAAGAGAGAGGGATAGATGGCGACTACACTAGTTGCAGCAAAACAGTGCGTTGCTGCTGCTGCCGTGGGGGTAGTACAGGCCGCAGGAGCCTGCATGCAAAGGACAAGGACAGGAAGCATAAAAGAACACGCATAACGAAGGCACAAGCTAAACATGGAGAGGAACAAGCCGGCATCAGTTTTCACCATAGTAGCGACCGACGCAATTTGCAGACCACTGTTGACAACAGCAGTTGCCATCCAGAAAAGACTGTTCCACCAGTTCTCAATCTATTAGCCCTAAGTAGTGATGTTGCTGCCGCGCCGTGCTCCCCGTCGGCAGATGCAACGCAGCCCATAAATGCGCTGCCGCGTGAAGATACTTTGACAGCTAGAAGTGATTCGACTGATGCGGATGAGAATGCAGGCCCCAAACCGACGAAAAAGAGGAGACCCATCACATGCAATAAGAGCCTCTCAGAAGAGCCGAAGGATTGGCAAGAGGCTCTGGGGAAACGGTGTTCAGGTTGCCACCACAGAAGACAAAGCAAGGGTCGCAGCACAAACAAGCCGGCAAGTTCTACTCAGAGTAAGCCGAGCCACAAGTGCAGACGGGAAAGAAAGGAACGGGATTCTAGGGAGGAAGGGTCGCTTTGGCAGGGAATTACTACTAGGGGTTGCTCCAGCCCTCTCCAGTCCACCGGATCCTTTTTAATGGAAAAGGAGCATATGCACTGGATTCCTACCCCGCGCAATGCCCTGATTGTGACAGATGGAAAGCCTTTGCTTCCGACGTGCGGCATGGCGCCTTCATTAACATCCACCCAGTGCGACGCTAAGAGGGATGATGCAGCAAGTAGGGGCAAGAGGGACAGCAGCAGCAATTGGCCCGGCAATTCTGGCAGCGCGGATGATCAGGATGTGGCGCGTGAGCAGTATTTAGCCGAGAGACCCTCGAAATTTGAAGATATTTTGGCACTGTGCCCTGGTGGAAGCAAAGAAAAGCAGCCAAGGCAGAGACGGGAGGCACGGGAACACCGAAAGGAAATTCGACCCCCGGATGCGCCTGCCCGTGAATCGAAACTCCATTGCGGCCACAATCTTAGCTGTAGCAAATGCCGAAAGGCCTCCGCCCGCCACTCCTCTTCACAGACAGACCATACTGTTCCCGTCCTCTGCGTGGAGCTTCAGCAGTCTCAAGCAAACCGGTTACACTGCAGTGATCTGCTTCAAAAGGTACTTGAGCAGGAATGGAAGAACAGTATGTGCTGCCACGCTTCATCCCTTCAGGAGGGGCCTCACAGCACAGGAAATCCACACGGCTCGCTGCGCAAGGCCGGTCCCCAGAACCCCGCAGCGCACACCAGAAATTCCAGGCACGGCAGCTCACATGCGCAAAGCGAAGTGAATAGTAAGAGCAGAAAGAGTAGGGGGAACAGCGACAGTAGCAGCAGCACCAGCAGTCCCAGCATCAATAGGGACAGTTTTGGCGGCAGTCCCAGCATTAGCAGCAGCTTCAACAGCAACAGCAACGGCGAAATGGCTCATGGGCATTGCCATGTCTCCAGGAAGTCTCTCACGGAAGGCGGGCACGGGGCTACTGACGGACCTCAGTCCCCCGGCACCGGCAAGCGCACCTCTAGGTCCAGATCATCCGCTCACAAACACGAACGCAGCAGCAGTTCACGACGACGCTGCAGGAGCAGCAGCAGCAGGCGGAAGAAAGCACGACCTGAAGTATCATCCACCTCAACTGTAGCAGCAATGGTTGCTGGCTGCAGGAAGGCTTTGTGCCAAAGTCCAGTGAGGAAGTCGTTGCTGCAGCGCGATAATGGTGGCGATGGCACTACTGGCAGTAGCCCCAAGCAGCTCACCCAGGATATATCCAGGAACATCGCAGGCTCTGTTGGAAGTTTCACCGACGGCGGCGCTCATCAAATGCTTAATAATAAGGATGGCAGCAGTACAGAGGTCGTGCGATCCGCACCAGCTGTGGGCCTCTCGATGACAGGAGAGAAAGCCGCTCTCGCCATCAAAGCAATTGACGAATCTTCTCCAAGGATGCCGACGGGAGACCCTGGGAAAAGGGGCCCCTGGTTACTCCTCTGCATTGGCCCTGCCTTGCACGTCGCTCCCTCAGAAAAATACACCACGGCAGGAGGGGGAAACCAGAGTTGCTCACAGCTTGTTGAGGCAGAGATGGTTGTGCACGATGCAAGTTGTTCACCCCCTGGAGACCAGGGTAGCAGCAAAAGCGGGGCCAAGGAGGAGGAAGTTCCAGCTGGCTGCAAGAAGGACTTTTTGTCTCTCTTTGAGATTCTGCGTCCATCTGATATAGAAGCTGGAGCCATTCTCGACCGATTTCGGATGGCAGGGGCAGCTGGTGAACCAGCGGATGTAGCTGATCTTGCTGCGTTCTTCATAGGATGCATCACAGAGCATAAAGATGCGCCTGCAGAAAATCAAGAGAACGGCAGTAAGCACCTGCCAGAAGTCGTATCGCACGTTTCCAGGGTGTTGCGCAGATTTTTAGTGAGTAGTCTTGGGCCGTGGAAAGCACTGTGCAGGGGCAAAAGGGCCGTTCCCAGTTTTTCGGTTGAGCGCTTGGCGTCGTCTTGGAGGGCGAGAAGGCTTCGGGCTGCTGTGGATTCATCGATAACCGTCGGAAGTGAGGACCTACGGAATTTGTCGTTGGAGCCTGCAGCACCACTTTGCAGAGCTGCAGGGGACAGTGCAGGCGTCAAGGGGCAGTCACCAGCAAAACCAGCGGCGGCTGCATCCCCTCCCGTATTTGACCTGCTGCTAGACGACAGAACTTTACGGCGCCTCAGCGAAAAGGAGTTCTTGGACGATACTATTATCGATTTCTGTCTGGGGTTTATTGTTGACCATGTGAGCGAACTCGCTTTCTCCCTTACGGCGCAGCTGCGTGGTCTGCGATGCATTTCAAAATCGTTTGTCTGAGCCCTGATGAGCAGTTATGCTAACCGTGAATTGATATTGTACTTCTAAGCAGAAAAATCATAGATTGTAGCGAATGCTGAGGGGTTGTTAATGTGCCACTTGTATGACGTTTGTATTTTACTTTTGCTAGGACTGGATTCCACCCATGTTGCTCTCCCGATTTGCCGGGCATTTTAGTCATATAGTTGGGGTTATCTATTTCTTTCTGTTCTTAAGTCTGCAAACATGACTGCCCTTTTTAGAGTTGCGTATGGATGCAGATTCTGACGCCGGAGGAGCGGGTGCGTGTGCATATTTCCAACACTTTTTTCCTCTCTGCCCTCATGGAGCAGAGATGCGAAATGGAGGCGCACAGCCGCTTGACTCGATGGCTAAAGAAAGAGCTCACGCCCCTGCCCAAGAAGGACTTTATATTTATTCCTGTCCACCACAAGCACCAGCACTGGAGTCTTGCCGTAGTAGTTTACCCGTGGCGCGCCCTCAACCCCTCCCAAGCCAACACAGCTTGTGGGACTGTACGGATACCTTCTGAAAAATCTGTGTGTAAACCTGGGACCAGCAGGCCCTTGGGTGGTGTCCAACAGACTTACCCACTGGATGTTTGTGCCCATCAAGCTAGCTCCAAGGGGTCACCGAGAAGCCCTGAGGCAGGAAGGGTTGGGTCCTCTCCACTCGGGAAATGCCGTGGGGCTGATGCAGGGCATGCACCGGCTTCCTTGAAGGCCCCTGGTACGCACGCACAAAGGCCGTCGTGTGAGAAGGCTCGGCTGTTTCACGTGGACTCCATGGGTCTCCGGAGCGTCTTTGATCGCTGCCGTGGCCGGCTCAAAAGGTTTTTGCGGCAAGTGAGTTAGTGCCTTGTGAACAATAACAAGAGTGCCGGGATGCGATACGTTCGCGCTTAAAGTGTGGCAATACACTTCGACTAGCCTGTTCTAGCCTGACAGGAGCAAGTGACCCACATACTTGCTTGAGTTGCGCCGAAATACAGTCCGGTCTGCTTCTGTGTTTTGTAGGAGTTCGAGCATCGGTGTGGTGGTGAGCTGAAGAGCGGCGAGAGGGTGGAGCTGTGCACGGATAGTTGCTGTTGGCACGATGGCCATAGCTGCACCTTGCACACACCACGCCAGCAGAATGGGTACGATTGTGGTGTGTTTGTAGTTGAGTATGTGCATTTTTTAACGCGCAACCTCAATGCTATCGAGACACTCCTTGTAGGCCCATCGCGTGATTGTCAGTCGCATCGCTATGCTCAACAGCCTGCAGCTTGCACGATGACGTCTAGTACCTACGGGTTCCGTGGCCGTGCTGATACTGCAGTTGAGATGACTAGAAACAAGGGCAAATTGCTCGAAGCTGCTTTAGGCTTCCACTGTCCATGCATGGAAGCTGGCTCTCCAGCGCAGATGCCCCCAGATGCCCGATCAGCATTTGGGCTACCTTACAATTTGACAGCTCGTTTGAATGAGCTGCGGCAGGCGCACACAGCACTACTTGGGTCCCCGAACACTCAAAACTCCAGGCAGCGCGCGCTGCTGCTCCAGACAGGCGTTCCTCTAACGCCACTCAGCGCGTCTCAGGGACAAAGCGCAACTCAGGAACTAACTCCCCAGCCAGAGACTGGGCTTCATGGCGGCCATCATTTGACAGGACTCATTCGGCTTCCAGACACTGATGGGATTGGGGAGTCAAAGCAAAGATGCATCATGTGGGGCCCTTTACCGCTTTGCATCAGCAAACGGCGGTCGTCCCACACGAAGTGGTTTTCACAGGACCGCGTTACTGAAAGGTGAGCGCAGAACCGTAGCAGAACTGTAGCGCACTTGATGCACATCTGCAGCGAGGAATGGCTGGCAGTCAGCCAGCGGTGAAGCGAATGTCATGGATTGGGAGGTGATGAATGTCGCAGGCGCTCGCAGTTACACAAGATGTTGCTGTTCATGCGACAGAACACTCGTTGGCGGGAAGACCCAAAGCTGATTGCCCATCTCAAGTCTTTGTTCTTGAATATTGATGTTTCATGACATTGGATATCCCAGAGAGAATCCGGTAGGGAAAACCGTCTAATTCATAATTTTGACCCACTGGTTCACTACTTGACTGCAGCCAGAGCTCTGTTATACGCAGCGGCCCTAGAGGTCTGCGCGGCTGGGCTGAACGTCTTTCTTTCGATTAGCAATGCAGCGATGCGAACGAACTAATATTTTCCACCAAGTTTTAACTTTAAGGATGTGAGAGGTTGACTTTTCGAGTTCAACGCACTTCATATCTTGACTCTTACTGCGTTTTCAATGCGTAAGGGCTCTACAAAACACTATTTTAAAAAAAGTTGCGGCGTGTGCCAGTTTTTTCAAAGCAGACGAACTTCCGTTGTATATGGTGGTTTAGAGTAACCTGAAAGTAATGCGTTAACACTGGTAACTGGCCGTTTCATGCTTGGGAGAGGTGCTCCTCGCCCTCCAACAAATAGCTCCTCAGCACGATTCGTGCCTTCCCAGTAACTCCGCAAGTGGGGAGCGATAGTCACCACCGTGACCCACGGCACTGTCGCATTTTGGGGAAGTATAGGGTGAGTGTACGAGAAAAAGCCATAGCTTCTGCGCTGCCTGAACTGCTGTGTGGTTGGGATATGCTGCATCCTGGCCCGTTGCAGTGAGAATTGCTGTACACAATTCCATTCTTGTGGCCTTTGTTGCCACTGCCCTATCCACTGTTGCTGCAGTAGCTGGTGGACAGGCTCGCTCTCTGCCGTGACTGCCTGCGTTGGCAGGAACAGCTGGTAGCTAGAACCAGGGACCTTCTGCTGTATTTGGGAAGGAGCGCTGAAGGGGTGCAGACGCTGTGGCTGCACTTGAATCGTAGCGGGCTTCCATTGACCTTCTCTGGTATGCTCGGATGTGTCATGGGAAATAGTAGGGTATGCGGTGCCTGCGTCTAATGCGCTGGAAAGTGTTGGAGACCGCCGCGTTGGGTGGTGGTCGTCGGTGGCTTTCGATGCGCCAGGTCTGCGACTTAGTGAACCGGGCTTCATTATGTGGGCAATTGGGATTTTCTTTTCTGTACTGTGGATGGAGAGAAAAGGGGGCGCTTTTGCTGGCCATGCCTGCCGAGCGACGAAACAGAATTGACGTAGGCAGCATGTTTGGCGCACCTTACCTCCAGGCTGTTGCAAGCAAGCTTGTGATTCGGTGCCGCTGCGATCCACGCTTTGCAGTGTTGATGATCCATCTTCGGAATTGTTGAGTTTCAATGAAGTTATGCAAGGGATGACTTTGTTTGCTTGCGATGCTTCACGGGCGGCGTGCCCTTCGTGATGCTGCTGGCAGTGCAAAGAACTCAACGGGGGCGTGAAGTCGGAGGCTGTGCCGTCTCTTCCTCCACTAAGAGCACAGTTTTGGCCTTCCATCTGCTCGTCTATCATTGAGTACGATGAGCAGATAATACCTTCTGGCCCTTTTCGCGGTGGTCGTGAGTCCTCACAGTACGGCAACCAGTCAAAGGCCTTTTCGGTCGAGCCTTCAGATGGAAGCTCTCCACGACGGAGGGGCGACGACATAGTGGTCTGCGATTTTTCCATGTCGTTGCTTGGAGAACCGTGCTTCTGATGAATTGTTGAATATCCCTGTAACTGCTTTCCCTGGAGAGTTCTAATCTCGCCCCCTTCTAGCCCCAGCATTCCTGTGGGCAGCATGGAGTAGTGTAGGCCCATTTGCCGTAAAAGGGTGCTGTTTAGGAGCTCAAATTGGTGTTGCAGTTCTTGATGCAACTGAGCTGCCTCCCGACGTTTCTCCGCACAGTGAAGCGATGCTTTCGGCAGCTGCTGCATGCATAGACACTGACTCAAATTCAGCGAATGACCAGGTGAAGTTTCCATTTTCCTGATCGTCACATGGCAGCCTCGGACCCAACACACTTTGTGTTGTGCGTCCAGGACTGTCGGTAATAACCCACCGCCGTCGAAAAGCTTTCTGCGGCCCTTCTTAACCTGAACTCGCATATTTGGAGCCAAATTGTAGGAGAGACTATGATAATCGGAGTATGCGCTATGGTGGAATTATAGTCGTTGACGGTTTTATCAGGGCCGCCAAAGTATTTTTCCTCACTCCTTCAGAAGTTCATACTGCCTCATGAGAAAATGCTTTGCTGAGCCCTCGCCACTCCTTATGGGACTTTCCCGAAGGCAGGAAGCTCGCTGAGCGAAGTCGATTGCGTGCAGCGACAGCTGAGTAGCCGTGCATGCGGGGTTTAGCGTTACCAGCAGTACAATGCTTGCGTCACTATGCAGACTTCTCTGCAGCCACACCGCAACCCCTAAATACGTCGTTTACAGGCATTGTGACTCGCCATCTAAGCAACTATTTGGCAATATTATGCCGTCGCACGTAAGTGGAAACGGACAGTGTGTAAGACTCAGGCAAAGCAGGACGCCTTTAGGCTAACAAGCAGGGAAAAGCCGTTATGTCTACAGAAGTTTGAGCGCACCGCGAGGATGCGCGTAAGGTTTGAGTAGCGGTAAGGAATCGGAACATCTGCACATCCATTCCCATCTCGTTTCTTGTTAACGGCTGCCTGAATATCGCAGAAAGAACAGGTCGCTATTTTAGCGATTAACGTGGGTATTGGATGAGAGCTCTGTTGTGCACGAACTTCGATCGAACAGGCCCTCCAAACACTTTGCCAAAGGCCAGAGTATCGTGACGGAAACGGAATGCCCGTACCTCCCCACGCCGCTGTTCCTCCTGCTTTACCAGCGACCCGAAACAAAGACTGCAGATTACCGCAGCCATAGACGGGTATGTGGCCTCCAGGGTGAAAACTGAAGTTACAGCCTTTGGGTCTGGCTTTCGTGCATCATGACTGCAAAAACTGTACCTTAGGAAGAATAATGACTTGTTGATTACAGTGCTCTCGGCGCAGCGAAGCTGAAATCAGCCAGAGAAAACCATCTTGGCGGAAACAAATAATCCATCATATGCATTTCAGGTTGGTGCGAAGCTTTCTTCTTGTCTTTACTGACCGTAAAAACGTAATGCCGAGCATATTTCCCTTCATACAGTGAGGTACAAGCCTAGTGTGAAAATTACTTTCTTTGTCTGGACGTCAGTTGCACCGTCTGGCTGACGGAGCCTAGCTGCAGGGCAGCGGGACATTCTTTCAGAACCAGCGAGATCTACAAGAGTGAGAGTGCTTCTGCCGACCTCCAATCGGTTTCGCTTCCCCATGCACCATATTTCCGATGAGACGACGAGCCGCGTGAAGACAACCACGTGTGATCTGTAACATCAAAAGGACGCGCCCTACGGTGACAGCGAACGATTTGCTTCGCTGACTGACTGCCTCGTACCGAGCGGCTTTCCGCAAGGAACTGTGGAGAAATAAGTGATGCACCAGGTATAGTAATTGCAGACCAACCTGGATGACTTGTTGTTGTGGTTGGTGGAGGCTACCTTGCGTTTCTTCTCACACCTACGCGCCCGCATGGACGGGATTCAAGAATGTACCACTGTGTTAACACTAGCTGCTCAAAGGCAGACCAATGCTGCAAGAGAAACGTTAACCGGTACTTACTGGAGCAGGATCTCTGCAAGTTCGCCGCAGTCCAAGACAGTTACTTCGCACAAATTTTCTACATGAAAGGTTCCTGTGTGGGGTGTCTCCTTCACCTGTATGGCATCCGAGCACCAAGAGAATGTCTTTTCAGTTGGTCTCATACACAGCACTGCAAATAAAGTTCTCAGCAAATCTCGTACGGACGGTGCGGCGCTGCGTTGCAAAACGTTCCATCATTCGTAGGCAAACTTAAAATATCGTCGATGTGCCGAACCCTTGAATGAGCAACGGTGCCTTACACACACGCATCTTGGGGCTTTCCACTCCAGTACATGAATCGATTTGCCCCAGTAAATCGTGCACCTTCTCCAAATAGACTTCTACAATGGAGACGCGAACTTCGTATTGCTGAGTTTAACAAAGGCGGCAACGATACCTGCAGATGTATTCCTCTTAGTGAGGCTGCTTTCAAACAGTGTGAAATTGTCCGAAGAAAATTCAATTAAGCGTCAGACGTGTGTTAGAAGGCACTGCAGGCCGTTTCCTTCCGGCATCCTTGACGGCTTTAGTATTAAATATGAACTTGTCGAGTAGCATCAGCGGTAGCTTTCCGCACTGTTAATTGCACATCAATAATATTAAATTCTTAGAATAAACCGAGCATGGACCTCCATAATGTATTTCGTTTAGAAAAGTTCTGAACGCCAACGCATTCTCTTAACTTGGTGAGTGTGTACGAAAAGAAATAAGATGTTCTACGCCCAGCTCATGTATCATATATTTCGTTCACCTCAAATCCCTAACAAAAAGGTATTATGGGTATACTCATAAGAAACAAATAATTCTAATGGGCACTGAGCCCCAACATTGATGAACGCATATGTCATGGAAATGACATATAGGTGAACATATATATATATATATATATAATATTCGACAACGCTGCACAACTTTTCAATTATTTTCGTAGGCTCAATGCACAAGCCAAGGAACTTATTTCACTTTAGTAGTACTAATAGTCCCGTGCTACCTGCGAAATGTAGTTTCCAGTCCTACGCAGTATATGTTTTACGTGTAGCACGCTAAGAAGTATCCGCACCTGGGCCGTAAATGAACCATGCACTAAATAAACTTACGATGGTGGATACCTGGTGTCTACGATGAGCAACTTGCGCCTCATGCTTCTCAACGAACCTGAAGATGTCTGTGGAAAAAATAAGGCTCCAGACAGTTAAATCGTGACTCTGTCAACGGCTCAAAAAAGTGACCATATACCATGTAATTCCGCCTCACCCTTCATGGATCGCATCAAAATCCCCTCGTCATTTGCATCTCCGAAAACACTGTAGGACTTTCCGCTTCCTGTTTGCCCATAAGCGAGTAGGCAGCAATCTGTCCCTAGTAGGAAATCCGCACAGAAGTTCTTTCCGCATGTCTGCTCCCTCCATATTCTGTGGCAGTATATTTACTGTGCATGGAGACAGCCACTGGATTGCTGGACCGCGAACGCACTCTGTGACAATCAAATGAATAGACTCCACGCATCTGAACGCAAATGAACGCGGAGTGCGTGTTATGCCCTACCGTCAATAACTTTCCGCACCAAAGGGAGCGCCGCCTGTTCGTAGACGACTCCGGTGTCATCTATTAATGAAGACACAACACCAAAATAGCGCTCTTTTAGGAAACGGCCTCGACCCACTTCTCCCCAGGTGCCGAGTTCAAGTCTCGTTTCGTCCTCTTACCGAATTGGTCTTATGAATAGTTGTTTGGATTCATGGGGCAGCAAATGGTTGAAGGCTATCGAGTTTTGTGTTTTGGCTTGCCATGGCAATCGAAACAGCCGCTGAAGGAAAGCTTCGGCATGCGGCGTAGTCTAGTGGAGTCATATCCGTACGCGGGGGGCCTTAGGAGCAGTTCCTTTCTGTTAGGGGAGACCGACCAAACGCTTTCTATTCCACGAGCCTCCTGAGCTTGATAAGGATACACAGATCCTGAACTTGCTGCATCGGGGCATAGCCAATGGAGATTTAATGCACCGGTTCACGCTTCAAGCTGCAGCATGCGCTGAAGTGGAGATAAGTTGTACTACGCCTCTGCTCTTTGTCGCATCATAGGTGTTAAAGAAAGCAAAGCCAGCCTTGGTATGTGAGGAAATAGGTATTAGGGCTTAGCCGAACTTCTTCCGCAGACAGAGGCCGCAACCGGACAAAAACTTGGACGCGGGACGCAGGTTCTTCGGAGACCATCTTGGTGTATGCTGGTATGGATGCAAGTTGGTTATTCGTAAATAATGCAGAATTCGTGAAGAGCTGCGTTTCATGACTGAAGAAGGTGTGCTGACCTTCAGGACAGCCTGTCCCTGAAGGCGGGATCAGCCACAGGCAGATCAATCCAGCACACTGGTAAGATTGGGAGATTTTTCTCCTGGTGACAACTCGTACAGGGTCTGTGTATTTATTATGCGTGAATGCACAGAGTCCATGCATATTTCAAAAGTCGAACGGCATTTCAGGACACCTAACCTAGCCCAACACCCCGGTACGGCAATTTGTGGGCGAGCCAGTGACCTGCGGCCAATTTCGAAATTGGAACCCCTATGCAGCTGCGACAAAATTATATTCGAGAAGGAAATATTTGGAGTAGCACACCGGTGCAGTTCTGGTTCGTTCAATGACCAATCACTTAGTTGGCGGTGCCAGCTTGCGGTGATAGGCAGCTGAGGATTCATTCAAATCATGTACGTAACCCTAACATCTCTGTCTTCTGCAGCGGTGAAGTGTACAAATGAGCATCACTAGCTCAATTCACTATTCTCTATAATGAATACAATGCGGAAAGGCCTAATTTGCTTGCACCTTCGGGGTGAATAAGGCCTGACATGCCGTCGGGTCACCTTCCAAAGTTCCTAAAAACGCTGCTCTCGTGAAATATACATCAATGACAGTTCCACCCTGCATCTATCAAGATAGAGGCGTAGTTGCTTCTTTTGCTCTGCTTGTTGGGAGGACCGTTTTTCGGCGAAGACTGAGTCAGCCCGGTGCCAGGCATTATTGTCGATCATTCCCGGGGTACGAGGCATAAAAGAAGCCCTGAACAGCCAAATTTGCATTCATATATGATGCGTAGCTACTTGGAAAAGTCTTGCCGTGGCCCCTTACTGGCATACCAACCACCAGCCGGTGGAGGCAAAACCTTTCTAGAAAGTTCCTTGCAGAAAACCTGGTTGTACATTGACGTGAATGCATTTCAAGACGTGGCAGACTGTGTTGCAAGCCCCGCACGAACCCTGAGAGAAAGGGTTCACTTAGCAATTCCTTTTACGCAAAGGCATCTAGCTTTTAAGGTGGGACCGTCAACACAAAGGTTGAAATGTCCCGCTTGAGTCATATCTTGCGATCCGCAAGAAACCCTTCTGTCAGCCGTAATTCAGGGACTATTCGACCACTTTTGCAGCTGCCAAGCCTCTCCAATTTTCGCTAAACATCGAACACAGTCTAAAAGAAAAGAAAGGTCTTCTGCATAAGTGTCCCGTTCTAGGATCCGCAGACACAAATTTACACTGGATAATTAAGATGTGTGAATTGTCTGTGTTATTTGAAGGGGACCTAATAGGTGAATCCGGTCACAAATTTGGCCTCCCGCCCCCTCGAGGTGAGGAGGCTGGCGGCTAAGTTTGTGATCGTACCCAGTTGTATGGGAACAACAACGACGTGGGCCTGTTAACCCTCGATCTTGTGTGGCAATTCCCCAACAATCTTCGGGCTTCTTATTACATAGCTTCCACCTCCCTTGAACAGATCACTCCGCTTGTGTGCGCAGTTGGACATGCTTGCACAGTGTTCACAATTGAGTGTATGAGTTGTCTACTGTACGCAATAATGGCGCCGAGTACCAAATACAGCTGCTTTTGCACCAGCGTCAAGGGCTTCTCTGCAGCATGCTGCTAGCCTCATTTCTTTCATTGTCCACCTTCCCCCCGCCTCGCTGCTAATGCGGCGGTGGCTGCGTAGTCTGACAGTCCAGCTTGGCTACCGGTACTGGCACTTCAACATAGCGTGGCACATAAATGGGAACAGGAATATCTATGTACGTCGGCGAGAGACGCGGAGCGGCGAAAACCTGCGAATGAGCATGTGGGTTCAGCACAACGCACAGTGGTCGCAAGTGGTATATCTGTGTATATAAGTGGTGACAGCTTGATTTTACGAATATCACTTTGTACCTAGCATTTAGAAACTGCATGCTTCTGATCGCAGGGGTTACCGCCGCAAATCTACGTATGCGTACTGTCGTTGTGATCCGCTTGAGATGCACGGACGCAGTTGTTGGTCGCATTAACTTCTGAGTTTCTGCATTGCAGAACGGCAATGTAACTCCTGGTCTCTGGCTATAGCCCGCGGCCCTTAAAACATCATCTCGGGTGTGCACGGAAGGTGCATGGGGAAGGGAGTGGTCTGCTGCGTTTTGCTTGCACAGAAGACGCAAAGACATACGAAAGCACAGAATATTCAGGTGGAATGCCGAGCTTCAACATTAAGAGCAAAGCAGCGAGACAAGGGCCGTGGTACACCAGATGCTGTTTTACCTCCTCCATCTCCATGGGCTGCCGGAGGGAAGGCGCTGCATGAATGTTTCCCGTACGCAGCAATTGAGGTCCAATATCAACACTCGTGCTAAGGCGGAGTGCTAATTAGTGCTTCAAACCGAATAGCACGCTCATTTGTATATGCTCTAGGCGCGGTTCCCAATAGGCCGCGAATGGTCACTTCCGGTTAGAGGGAGCAGAGCCGACCACTTCGCGCAACTGGCGGGCGACCACTCACTGGGCTATATCAAACATGAAAAACTGTGGGGGAAAACAACTTACTACATGCGTCGTCGTGACTGCAAAAGACAACGACGGACCGCTCACGTGCGGCAGCAACTCTACAACAGCTAGACGATGGGCTCCACCGACTGTGGGGCTGAGAGACAAGCACTCATATTCCAGCTCGCTTATAAGAAGCCATCCTTTGTTGAGGAACAATTACTATCTGTTGGTTCGTTGCAAATGCGCAATATCATAGATCTCATTGCCACCGTTTCATACCACATCCCACACCCCGTTGCCACCCCAGTTCGGTACACAGCGACCCTCCTCCTCCCCGTTTGGGAGAGCTTTCTTCACCAGAGTTGCTTGTATTTCAGAGCAAGAGTCAAGAATCTTCTTCTTCGTAGTGGCATCCTGGAGGGTGCAATGGTTGGCTAAGACTCGTTCCTCTAGCCGTTTTTATATTCAGCGATGTTGGCCAAAGAATCCGCCGTGGCCGTCACAAACGAAAAGTACCCGCTGGGAGTTTTTTTGCGAGCTAGAGTATGGGACGTATAAAGGCCTTGTGGTAATAAGTGGACTGCTGAATACGCATGAAACTCTGCACCACACGCTACGACAGCTGGCGCTGCATTGCCTACAGAAAACCGCACTATCAGCTCCTGGACACCAGCGCAAAAGTGAGCTTCTTCTGCAATGCCTGACTACTCTTGCATGGACACGCTGACCTACAGGTGACTATCTTTAAGGGGTTCAAGCACCAGTGGCTGCCGCGTGGCAGGTCCAAAATTAGAATAAATCACCAACTGGATCCGCTTCTGTTTACAGGAAACTCCGAGCCTCCTTTCTGCTGCAAAAAATACAATGCGTACAGTAATTCGCACCATGCAAAAGCATGCTACGTGACACACACGTGCAATCAACTCTTTAGAGACCGGATGAAAAGATCCCTCAAAATTATCGCGGAGGGAGTACTCACGTTCGCTTGTGCATTCGACTAGTCCACGTAGGTTTAGTTACTCTCAGGCAAGAGGTATGGCACTGAAATCTTTGAACAGTTTCCCTTCCTCAACAAAATTTCACCAGTGAATGGATTGAAGCCGTGGCCCTACTGCATGTTCACGGCATTCTGCCAGTGTGACACATTCTTAAGGGGCTAAAATGGGTCCGCTTGGCAAGCAGCTGCTCTGTGAAGAGGCCCGATAGGAGTTACCAACACACACACACACACACCAAAATGTCCAGAAAACTTTGGCCTTTGTTGAAAGGACGTCAAATAATCCCACTCGCTCCCGCCATAACGCTACTGAGGAAACGGAAGAAAGCTGGTACCTCATGCGGAACAACCGCAAAAAAAAGCACGAATCAGCGTGAAGATTCCGTGCTTTCCTGCTTCTTCCAGGTAGCATTCGTGGAAATGGCAGCACTTGTTCCAAAGTCGGGGGCTTGGAACTAAGTGCGGGCGCACCTTATTCGACGTTGTCTGGCGAGTTGGAGTCCCCATTCCAGGCCGCATATTTGGGTGTACTCTCCAGTCGATCACCTTTCGACAAAGAGATCCTCTGTCTGGCGGGAAAAGCAGCCTCGGTTGGTTCTGTTGACAGGAGCTCTTGTTAGCTGCTACGCATCACAGCCCGTTCCGGCTTTGGAGATGTGTTTAGATCTGCTGATCCAATGTTCTGGAGAGACCGAGTTTCTGTCTGTTCTTTCGAATTAGACATAGATTAATCTGGGCTTTTCAGGTGGGTACTGGACTCTCCCAGCATCGACTCTCGGGTTGAATCAGGATTGGCTATGTCAGCGGTAGTTACATTTTTGCCTCCGCCAGACTCGTCAAGCGCAGAAAGTTTTCCTCCTTAATCCCTCCCAACTGGAGTCTGCTCTTCCGCCTCCATAGAGCTTTGCCGTGAACCTGCTGTCTTGCTTTTTTCTGCTGCTCCGTCGGTTGAGGCCAGCTGACCTACTTGTGTTTTCAGCTGAGTGAATAATCCAATAGGTTTGGAAGTAATCTCTCCTCTGTCCGGAGGCATATGTGGGCCTTTTGCCTCGGCAAAAGAGTGCCCCCTGCTGCCCTGCGAACCAGTTTCCTTCGATGTTTCCGCTTGCTTGCTATGGCCATCAGGGACACTGATTGCACTTTTTGGCGGTCGGCGAGCAAATGCAGAAGAGGCAATGCTGCAAAATCGTTTCGGCAGAGTATCCTTCGGATCGGACTTCGTAGCGGTGCGATCGTACGCCTGCATAAGCACTTGAGAGGGTGAAGCGATTTTTGCATCCTTCCTACAGCCTTCGTGCTGTGGCAGTGTTATTCCAGAGTCTGTGTGCGCGGTATCTTCCTTTTCTGCCGATGCTTGAAAGCGAGAAACTTTCGGAGACACATCCTCATAACGAAAGGAAGAAAGCCTCCCCGTGGACTTTGCAACAGGCGAACCCTGCGTATGCCCCATCGAGTCGGATTGCTGCGAGCCGCCTGCCGGTCTGCTAAAGGCTACCGGAGGTGAATTCACTGCAGAGGAACTTTCGCCCTCTACAGGCTCCCTTCTCCAGTCGTCTGGGTGTGATGCCAAGGCCTTTACAGTTACTTCAGCAACGGGCGTCCGTTTTGAATGGACCAACGAATCGGCGTGCCAATGGCCGCCAGATAGTCTGTTGAAGGTTCCAGAAGGCAGCTTCCCTGCAGCAAGTAGTACGTCGTCCGCATCGTGTATTCTAGCATCCGTTTGCAAGCGTACTGGTGCTAGGGACTGCGCATTCTGTGCGAGGTCATCTACAGATTCCGTGGCCTTTGGTCTTCTCCTGCCATAGACGCCTCTACTTGGAGGGCTTGCTGGCTTTCTTTTCGTTAGAACCGCTTCCTTTCCGAAGGGAACTCCTGGATCTAACACAGGTGACTGGGGATAACCCCTGCTGAACTCCTTTTTCGTTTCGTTACGGGGTGGCGACGTGAGACCTTCTCGAGTTTTCGACAACGATGACGACTTTGGCTGGTGTGGTGCTACCCGTCCACCTACTCGGCCTGCACCTGCACTCGGTTTTTGCGTCCTATCTTCGACATGCTCTCCACCATGGAGTTTCTTTGATGTTTTTTTGTTATTCTGGTCCCGTTGAACCCTCGCTAACCCATCGATCTTTACACCTCCCAATTTTCCTGCATCACCGGAACCTGAATCGCCGTGGATTTTCTCTGCTAAGAGAGCCCCTTGGTCGAGAAGAAACAAGTAAACTGAGCAGAAAGCAAAGTGAAGGTTCTCTATGCACACGCATTAGGCACCACACTACCAAAACCATCGCTGCAAATGGGCGGATGCCACTGATCAAAGCTACACGTGCCTTACCACTGCCACCCGGGCGGGTGCAGTCCAACGCGGTATTGCCAGAGTTGCTGATAGTGTTGATGTGCCCTTTGCTGGTAGCTCGTTGAAGTATTAAACTCACGACACCGAGCGAAGCCTGCGTAACACCGCACAGCAACCCTAACATCGCCCCACAGCGGTTACTTGAGGTATGCACCCTGCGCTCCGTTTGCTTTGCCACATGTTCCGTTACAGGTTTTGCTGAATAATGCAGGCAAGCAATGGAGATTACGCAGGAAGCCACTCGCACGATGCAGGAGGACAGGACAGTAAGGGCAAAGTAGTGCATGTTTTACATCTGCCGCGCATGCCATCATCAACAGGGTCCAGCCACTGGGGAAAGACCTTGCCTCGACGTCAATGAAAGGATCTGCCAGCAAATAATTCAAAAGCCGTTCTTGCTGCAGGAGCAGACACAGCTGGGGAGTTGTGTAGATCTCTCCATAGCCTCTGGCGCAAACAGGAACCGCATAAAAGACCTCAGAAATCAATTTTTAAAAAGTTCCAAGGGACGCCAACCTTCTGCCCAGGCTTCTTCACCTTCTTGAAGGAACCTGGGCATTCCCACGGTCCTCGAGGCCTCTATAGTAGCGATTGCCTCGTACGAGGCGTAACATCACTTACGGTTGTCTGTAGGTGCAAATTGGGGTATTCCAATACGCCCGGTAATTGCGGAGACTGTCCAGGTCACCCTCTGTGCATTACACAATATTGCAGTCGAGGAAGCGCACAAGGGAGGAAACAACGAAGCAGTTGGTTGAACCACGTCAGTGGTTGCAGCTTGACGTATGTAAAGATTAAGTGTGGAGTTCTGATCATCGTGGGATGTTTCAAAAGGCGCTTTAGAACAAACAGAAAACGTCGTCGTCAGCGGTGCGTCACACTAACCTGCTACGGCATCGTATAGCTCTTGCCTCCTTGGCAGTTTTTTCGCGAAGCGACGGTAAGGCGAGCATGTAGTGACACAAAGATGCTTCATTTGGTGGTCCTAAGAAAAGCAGAAGGGAGTGAAGTGTAAAGCCACTGCAAAAATTTTGGACAGAGCGACCGGCTCAAGTTGCTGCGCTGTCGCGAGATGGGTAGGACCAGCTTCGATGGTACTGAGCAGATCATTTGCAATGGTGAAGGTTGTTTATGCATAGTAAAACTGGAAAGCAATACGGCACTAAACATACAGTTGCCCAGCCTTACTTCTGGAGCGGTCATCTTGACCCATCTTCACACACACGAGAAAAGTCAAGGATCTGTTAGCGCAGGAGGGTTCGTACGAAGGCCACGACCAGCTAAGCTCCCTTCCTGTGCAACCAACTACGTAGTTTAAAGCCACCTGCAACACAACTCCAACTGTACTTGTAGATCTTTTGGCCGTTTTACATGCACTTGAGCTGCGGACAGAAGTATAGACCATCGTACGGAACATGCGGGAAAAGCTGGACATGCATGCAGTAGCAAGCCCGTAAATATTCCGAAAAATGGAACATGGCTGAATTTATTCTTGAAGATTTCCCTTAGAACGCTCCGATAGGTCGAAGTATATTGGCGATGCTGAGGAAACTGCGTCGATGTCCATCGCGGTCGGTACCGCTTCGCGAGCCCTGCATACTCTAGGATTGAAGCACGTACTACCAGGGAACCATCGGGAAAACCTAACCGCTTCCTGATAGATTTTTTTCTCATAGACTCTCCATAGACCCGTTAAGGAAGTGGAGCAGAGCTCCCAACCAGACAACTCGTCGAGGCGCCGACGGCGTTGGAGGTTATCTGGATCATTCATTCCCTGCAGAGGAGTCAAATGTTTAGTTAGAAGTGGAGAAATGGTGCTGTTGCGTAATAGGGTTGAGAGATCGAGGGCGCTCGCAGCTAAAGTTGTAGTGTTTCTCCTCCTCGTCGGCAGTTGTCCAAGGCCGACACAAGCGTACAGATATGCAGCTGCGGAGCTTCACATGATGAGAAAACGCCCTTGGCTGGCACATGCTACACAGTGAGGGCCGAAAACCCTCAGGAATTGAGAAAATCAGCCACTTAAGTTTAGTTCGCTGTGGTACTGAGAACGTCCTCGCTAAGGTCGCCGCCCAGTCAAAACATCCCAGCCGGGCAAGTATCAGGACAGAAAGAGCAGCAACGGGAGGCGAACGTGAATGACACCGGATAGGTATAAAAGCAAGGGGATGAAGTATTTCCACCAGCAGTGGTGTTTCTAACTTATCTAACGAATTCTCCACTCTGGTAAACTTTGGAGGGAACTTGCAGGAAACACCATGTTCGGAAATTGCTGGACTAAGGCCTGAACGATTTGATCTATTGCGGCTTCGTCATCCTCGACGCAGAGTATAGCCCTTGCTTTGAGTAGCCCTTCGAGGCAGTGGACAAGACCTACACCTTGGTAAAGACAGCTAGAGTTGAATAGGAGGGTCAATATAGTTGACCCTCCTATTCACCTAAACTCTGCAGAGCAAGCTATATAGAGTATCGGATTTCTGTTAGGAGGCTACAGCTCAATGAGGAGCCGCGTCATCGTCTAATCTCATCTCAATTTGAATTCACTCTACCACGTTTAACTGTGAAATTATGTGATCCATCTTCAGACTGATCTCCACAATAACATTTTTCGAATGTCGATATTGTGTTATTGAAAAGAATTGAATATTGCTTTTTCATTAAGTAAAATTCCAGCTAAAGCAACGTGCAACTAAGACTTTTGAAAAGTAGGAGAGGAGCATATTTCTGTATCAAGTATATATGTAGCAGTTCTTTTTAATGGTATTCCAAATTGAGCAAAATCCTCAGGTGGGCCAGGACCTTCCCCACGTGGTATATCCTCCCCTAGGAAACCTTTTAGCTTTCGTAGACTTAGATTTTACTAATAATTACTCCACTTAAGCTGCCACTCACTTCTACGTTTTTATTAAAATTTTGCAACTTTGCCCTTGAAGTATAGATCGTTCCGCTATAGGCTTGAACAATAGTCTCAACGGTTAACTATTTTTTCATTTTTAGTACATAATTTGTAATATTTCTTCGTGGTGCGTTGGCGCTCTGCTGCTGCATGTAGGCGAAGGGACGAGAAGAATAGGAAAAAACAACACTGGGTAATCCTCTCGAAGAAAGGTGTAGCTTATATAGCAATGGAAACTTTGAGGGGCAACAAACATTAAGGCGGTCAACTTATAGTCGCTTTTCTTAGATCAGATAAACTGTTTGATGTTCATGGGCGTCTTCCGCTGTGCGAGTCACAAAGCAGCACTCTACTTCGAGTTGCAGCAAGGGAACAAATCAAGTGAGACGTTTTCAACCCGCTGCTGCTTCTGGTGTCGTAAGTAAGCCTCCCCCAAGGCCAAATTAGCACAGCAAACTCGGTTGTGCAAGAGGAAGAGACCTACACGAAAATTTAACTGCACTGGCCCCTCTTGGGAAACTCTTATACCCGCAGCGATGCAAGACGAAAAAGGCAATGATGGGATGTCACTGTGCTGCCAGTGATTTCGCAGGAATATCTTCGACAGAACCCGCTGGCAGATGTGGCCGTTCTGGCCACATCTGTCAGCGGGTTCTGTCGAAGATATTTCTGCGCCTCTGTCCCGGCCTGTCGCTACTTAATGCGTCCATAAACTAAGCCTAACCAGGGAAAATGCATGAGAATGCGTGCACGAGTGTCCTCCTAGATCTAGACGCAGTCATATTGCATCCTTTTGTGCAATTGCTGTTTCTGAGTTTCCTGTTGTTCCCATGTTCCCTGGCCTCTGATTGCTGTTCCAGCAGTCAAGGTGACAGTTGATATATCCCCAAAAAATCACAAATCCAGGTTGAACACCCTCGTTCATATTAAGATGAAGGCATGATGTCTCTGCTTTCGCTGGTATGTTCACAGTTGATGCACGCCTGCCACTAGGGCTTTCCGCGACAAGGAGATTAGTGGGGTTTCCACGACATTGTTATTTGGGCAAAGTAATGGACATCTTGCAACATATCATGCGGCACTCTTAATAGGAGGTGTTTAATCGTTTTTTTCGTCACTTCCATAGTGCGCCTTGTTATCGCCTTATGTGGTGCTTACCTAGTACTTGTTCTGCAGTCTGTGGTCGCAAGAATGACCAGAAGGCTACAGAAGAAGGTAATGGTTGAGGGCGCAAATAAAACTGAGAGAAACGGATACTATTTACACTGAGCGCTGATAAGCAAGGCTTAGCATTCGGCCCCACGGGCTTCTGGAGTGTAATGGAACATTCGATTCATGATTAGCACATGCCCTCCCGCTGGCCCCGCCTCAACATGACGAACACTGACTAACAATATGCTTGTTTTCGCAATGTTAGGCTTGGTTCCCTAGTGCCAGGGGTTGCTAAAATAAAACAACAGAGCGCGCAAGCACTGCTGCTGCCGCACATTTGTCCCCGTGTCGGCTTCATTCCCCACAAAGGTGCACACTGTTTGTGTAAATGGGCAGGACGGAGTAGCCAAGGCAGTGTAACCTTTATTCTTCGTGGCATGTATGGCCTAACAGGGTTCGTGGTGCTGATAACTGGCCCCTTGGTTGTTTTCTGTTCGACGGCATCGGTTCCGTGGCTCGCTAGATTCGTGCCACGCTGCGGGCAGCTGGGAATACCTTAGCCATTTATTGAGAAGAAAAATACACAGAAAAAAAGCAAACTATGAGTGAGTTTGCTAATTCTTGTAGCTAGATGATGTTTGCAGGTCCACTGGTTCACCTAAGCGCCGTTGGCTACCACAGTAGCGGGCTTCTGGGCACCGCGAGCAGTGGGCGTATTCCTGACCAAATTATCTTCCCAAACAAATAGCCATTCATTGGGTGACATTACTAAGCTTTCGACAGGAAGACCTAAGCAAAGCCCTGCGCAACACTTGAGTAGGGCAGTTTTCAAGGGAGACTGCAGGGTATTTGAAGTGTCGTGGAACTGCAGAAATCCCGTCAGGAGGCTTTTCATTTTTGCTTTTTACGTTTACACTGCCGTCGACGGTCTAAATCTGAACTCTCTCGTTCTGTCGGTGGTGCCCTGTGGAATTAATATTTCGTTCGCTCCGCAGCGGCGGGCATTTCAGCGGCTTCTGCTCACAGTCGATGTTTGACCTTCCATTACTCCTCTAGCGGCCGTCATTAGTTTATGCAAGCAATCCTTCCCAAGGTCCTGCCTTACCAGCTTCAGGCTGTTTAGATTCCCCGCTAACAGGCGAACTTTGTACCACCCGTGCTCTCCCTGTGGGCCCCGTCAAGCCTTTCCGATTTGGACGAATACAAAGATGGCAGCGTTCCACATAGAGAAGTCAGTAATCGCCAGTAAGCCGAAGTCTGAACTTGAACCCACTTCCAGTGGGGGACCAAGCTTTTATCCCCTCGTCAAGGGGCGCGTGCAAGTGCAAGAACACATTCGAAAGACAGAAAGAACAACGCACGTTAGATTCAACAGAATATGCATGAACATTATGACAACTTCCTGCAAGCGAAACGCCAGATTTCTTGGTTTGACCAAACTGGCACACGACGAGAAGAAACCATCCCCTCTGTGTTTTGGAGAAATACAATTTTGCCTGCATATTTTATTCTGCTTTGATCAGATGGCGACTTGGGAACGGTAAAGGCGATGAAACGCTACTGGAACCAACCGGTATCCGACATGGACGAGAAGTGAGAGTAGTTTGTGCGCTAATTCCAGACGAGTGCTCGCAAGAGCCGTGTTTGAAGATCTTCCCGATGCTTCGAATTGTAGCATTTGTATGTGGCTTTATCACTAGTGTGATATTCCCTGTTGGTTTTCCTCATGCTGTTCTGTGTGGCGCTTTTCAGCTCGAACGCATCAAAGTATACTTTATTGCAGATGGCGCTGATGTTGCAGAAGAAGAAAGTTGTCGAGTATCTCCTCCCACAACAAGACATTGACTTGAACACCAAATCCACTGATGGTACCACGGCGTTAATGATTGCATGCGACCTGCAGGCAAGAATCGGCAGCCCTATTAACGTTCCCCTTAGACGAGTTCCAGGGTGGCCGCAAGCTAAGCGGCACACCATATGTGTCTTGAATTAATTGTGAGCCGATTTGCTGTTCGATGCACATCAGGTCCCCATAGACTGGGTGCAGGCAATGCTGGAACGAGGAGCAAGTAAGAGTATTAACGACGAAGATAATGATGGCCGTACTGCTTTGGATCGTTGCGAGAAAGGCAGTCCAGGTATATTCTCAGCCGTTTCACCCATACGGGGGCGGTTCCTTTCTCAATTCTTCATCATTTCCTCAGCTTTAAGTTGGCCATGTCCGCGTTAACACTGTGTTCACGCTAGTGACGCTAACAAATATCCCTGTCCGTTTGAGAGGTGTTGGCTGCCCTCTGTTGCGACGTTTCCGTCTCAGTGTACAACCTGCTGCTGAAATACGGGGCGACGCCGCGTCCTGAGAAGCCACCAACTCCCCCACCTGAGCCAGAGCCGGAGCCAGCAACCTCCGCTAAGGAATCAGTTGAGACGAATGAAACAGGAACTAAAAGCACGATTGTAAGTTGGTGATTCTCCACCAGGAGGAGTTATTACAGCCTGAAAAACCAGTTCACAACAGGGAGCTTCAAGGCGATACATAATGATGCGACTGTGCATTTTTTGCTGTGCTCCCAAACCAGCGTTAGCTAGGCACGAGTTCTAGATGTCGCCCGTCTGCATCGAGTTTATGGGCAGGTCGAAATGGTCTTCAAAAGTCCTATCTTAATGCTGTGTGCCTTTCTGTGCTCAGCCAGAAATCATAGTCATGAATGACGATGCGCCCGGCCTGGTAAGGATTGCTTTAGCGTGCATATTGAGGCGCAGACGACCTCACTTTGACAGCATTAAAGAATTTCTGCGCCCTTTCATGCATGCATCTCATTTGTCTTGTTGATGCAGGACCAGCACCCTGGTTTCTGGGGCTCTATGTGCGGCTGTGGCGGCCGTTCACACAAGACGGAAGAAGTAACTGCTCTGTAATAACTACGTGCCTATCGTTGTTGTCAATTCTGCGTCAGCTATATATATATATATATATATATA